ATGGCAGCTGCTATTCCAACAGCTGTAAACGCTAGGATATGCTTGCGCTAACCTCAGAAGAAGGAACTAATCCACACCCTTGCCCTTGTCCTCACCCATGGCCGTGACCTCACATGCTACCCCTTGCCATTCAAGAGAAAAGGGATTACAAAAAAGAACCTGCCCGCCATTGAAGAACACTTGCCCAGACTTCCTCATCCAAGCCTTTGCCTTGACGCTGAGCTGCTGCAAGTTGTCTTGGCAGGCACAAGTTGCCTTGAGAATGTAATAAATGAGCTGGAATATACATGTTACTCAATTAAATGCAAGATTTGTGTAAAGTGCAAGCCAAATTGAGTCAATGTAATTTAACATGCTACATTGACAACCCAAACAAAACCCTGGGTGGAAGCAACACCCTGTGATGATCCCTCAGTGAAAAACCTGGCATTAATCAATACCCGTCCTTCTTGAAAAGGACTCCTGCTTCCAATGAGATTCCTGGGTGAAAATAAGGTCCATCCTCCTAGAACCTGCAAAACAATTTGCCAAGGAAGGGTTCCATGCCATACCCATCCTACACCTCCACTTTAAAGTCGAGCTCACCAGATGAACTGTTGGATGCTGGAAGGCTTAGGCTTGGATAGTGCATCTGCTACCACATTCATCTTTCCTACTCAAAACTCAATTGTAAAATCCATTGCTTGAAGTTGTTTGATCCAGAGATGTTGCTTGAAATTTGGCTGCTCCACATGAAGATTAAGTGATCTGTCTGAAGGGTGAAGTAAGCCATTATTAGGTAATGCCTCCATTTTGTCATGGCAACCATCATCTCCTGCTCATACATTGGCTGCCTTGACTCCACCTCCTAAAACTCCTGCTCTCGAAAGCAATCAAGTTGTGAGAACCACTCCTACTGCCACATCGGATTGTTTCCACCACAAACCTCCAGTGAAATCCAGCAGCTAGAGCACTGGCACCTCAAGAATGTGACATTTTTGTCTGTTGAAAGTTTGTTGAGTGTCACAAAGAATAGGTCTGCTCCAATGATGTCTGTCAACGGAGCAGCAACGTTGACCTAGTGTTCTATAAACTTTCGGAGGTAATTGCACAATCCCATGAATGCTCGGAGTTGTTTCATTGTAGCAGGCACTGGCCAGTTTTGGATTGCATCCAATTTCGTTGGGTCTGGTTTCATCTGCCCAGGTATGATCCAGAAGCCGAGGTATTCCTGGCAAATGAACATGTTGCGAGATTGACCATGAGCGCAAAATCTCCAGCTGCTGTAAGACAATGTCCCATGTACACCAGAATGAAGAACATGGAGGAAGAGAAGAAGCAGCGAGAAGGAAAGGAAAGGGAGCAAGAGAGAAGGAAAAATAGTACGGAACATATAAACTATCTTTCTACACAATTTCACTCTAAATTATAGCGGTCCATCGTGTGAGTGGAAAGTACTACATGGATTGCAATGAAGCTCTGGCCGTGTGTGCTGATATTTAGTTACAAGGAAGTGTCAGGGTGGACAGCCACGTGGCTGACCATGCGGACATCCGGCTGATTCTTTCCTTTGTTGTTTTGATCTCGATCAATTCAATCTCAACCCCCCATGCAAAGGCTAGCTACAGATCTGTGGAACTTCAATGAAGATTTCATCAAGTCTCATCCTTAATCGTTTTGTTTTCTGCATGCAAAATTGTAATTTCATTCATTTCGTGGAGAATTGTTTCTTTATACTCAGTGACACAATTCGCGTCAAGAAACCTCCATGCTAGAATGTTTGAGAGCTTTGGAATTTTGCAAAGTCCAGATGTGTTCACTGAGGTAAACTGAAGAAGAGTTGTGTGTTCACCTCTTTCATCTCTTCAACATCCTGGATGATCATGCATGACATAATTCCTGATTCATCCTTCAAGATTTGTGCTATTGTAGCACTGTCTTGACAACAACCTTGAGTTTTTTAAGAAGTGTTAAACACTGATAACTATTTAGATTACTACAACTCTCAACTTTCGGCAAATTCTTCATATCCCAGAAGTGATAGCATTGGAGAGATTTACATGAGAAGATAGAAAACCATTGATGAACCAAGTGTAGAAATATAGACATTTTACCTACACAACTGCATGGAAGGTGATAGATCAGGCCAACAAAGTTCACTAGTCATTAAACACAATGTTAGAAATGATAAACATAAACTACTCAAAAGTTTGCAAAATACCATAGCTTGGAGGTCCATGTCAGTTGCAGGCTGTTCCATGGAATCAACACCCATGCAGTGAAGACTATCTTTCACTCCAGGCTGCATAACACGGCATTGGACTTTGTCCTGTGGGATACATAGAAGAGCCTGCCAATTGCAATTAAAAACGTAAACTAGACTAAAAAACATAACAAGAAGAAAGTCTACCCTTGCTCACACTCGCGGCTCAGAGAGGTGAAATCAGCATTAACAGCGAGTTGGACAACTTGAGCACAAGTACCATGGACCTGTCATTTGAACAAGATCCAGAATTTAGCACGGTGCAATCTGTAAATATTCACACCTCCAGGCCGAAATTGAGTAAGAATCAATTGAAAAATAAAATAAACTTTTGTACCTCAAAGCCTCATGTAGATTTTTTGTTTATTTATTTGGAATTTATATTGCAAAATATAAATAATAAAGCAAATATTTAGTGATACACAAATTCTAAAAGATAACCTACAATTGCCAAACTCATGAAATGGCATTCCCATGTATGCTTACATAGGCAGATTCCACTTGTTCAAGTTATCTCTAATGTTATGCTCCAAATGAACTTATCCTGTGGCTGGCTAGAAGCAAATGTTTTGTAAACACACATCCCCCAAAGTTTACAAAGATACACAAAACAAATGTCATATGGGTATCTCCTCCAGTTGTGCCAGGATTCGATGACTATTGCATATCACCTAGTAAGTGACTCCTCACATTCTTGTGCCAAATCGAGAACAGCTACTTCCCAATCACTGTTCATTATTTCAGCTTGCGAGTGGAGTAAAAACCTCAAATAGTTAAAACACGCAACAACATTGAAATGAACGAATAGCTTACAGTCCAATGCACAAAAAGCTTTGCATGTCTAGCTCTTGTGGCGAGCAAATTGTACTTATAACATGCCCAGCTTGTCGAAATTTTAGCGTTCATGATAGGCTCCTGAATGCGTGCTCTTCAGAAAACCGGGGTAACAATCGATCACAACTTAGCTACAAGTTATGACAATCTGGTAATTCACTACTGGAGACCAGCAATGGGAATCTACATGAACAAGAATTACGAGCATAACTCAAAATGGTGGGAAACAAGCAGGCATATCAGCAAAGAACCCAATGCTCCACCGGTACCATTCCCTCGGTTGCAGATAACTCTCTGCAATGACAGCAATTAAAACTTGAAAAAAAGAACCATTTTCGTTTAGATATGTGATGGTTTGCAGAAGATAGAAGAAACGTGTCAAACTTGGATCAATACGTCTTGTGCTCCTTTCAGCTTGCTCTTTTGCTCCACGTAGTGATACATCCATAGCTCGACTGAGAGTATGGCATCCCTGTCATACTCTTTAAAGTTTCATTGAGCTAGGCCTATAAATCACTAAATACCAGTTAACCTAATCCACGAGTTTTAGGGCAAGGGTTGAGCTATGGCGCACAGGCTGCTGCGCGATCTGGAGGCCGATGGGTGGGAGCGCTCGGACTTCCCGATCATCTGCGAGACGTGCCTGGGGGATAATCCCTATGTTCGCATGGTAAGCGCCGCGATTTCTCACCGTGGAGCTCACATTGTTTGTTTCCTTTGGCACAGACCAAGGCGAATTTCGACAAGGAGTGTAAGATTTGCGCCAGGCCCTTCACCGTCTTTCGCTGGAAGGCCGGCCGCGACTCGCGATACAAGAAGACTGAGATTTGCCAGACGTGTAGCAAGCTCAAGAATGTGTGCCAGGTCTGTGTGCTGGATCTCGAGTATGGGCTGCCCGTCCAGGCCCGGGATAGCGCCCTGGAGGTCGACACCAGCGATGTCATACCCAAGAGCGATGTCAATCGCGAGTACTTTGCGGAAGAACACGACCGCAAGGTGGATCACGAGTCGTCCTTTGGTAAAGTCCGGCCGAATGACATGATCCTCAAGCTCCAGAGGACGAGCCCATACTACAAGCGCAACCGAGCACACATTTGCAGCTTCTTTGTCCGCGGTGGATGCCAAAGAGGTGATGCTTGTCCCTACAGGCACGAGATGCCAGTCACTGGCGAGCTCTCACAGCAAAACATCAAGGACCGCTACTACGGGTAAGTTGTGTTCTCTTCTTCGCGTTTCTTCTCACTTTGAGAGTTCTTTTCTTTACAGGTTGAATGATCCCGTTGCTGCAAAGCTCCTGAAAAAGGCCGAGGAGATGTCGACGCTCACTCCTCCCGACGATACCACCGTGAGGACGCTCTACGTTGGTGGCCTCGACGAGAGAGTCACCACCGAGGATCTCAAAGACAACTTCTACTCGTATGGAGAGATCGAATCGCTCCGGCTCGTCCCGCAGAGGGCCTGCGCCTTCATCACTTACACCACGCGTGAGGACGCCGAGAAAGCTGCCGAGGACCTCGCACACAAGCTCGTGGTGAACGGAGTCAGGCTCAAGCTCATGTGGGGGAAGCCTCAAGCAGCAAAGTCGGACTTGAGCAGCGGTGGTGGAGCTCAGGAGGAGCAGAGCAACGAAGATGGCGGAGCGGCGGAGCAGGATGACGGAGTGGCCTACTACTTGCCTCCTCCGGCGCCGCTCTCGGACAATCCTTACTATCCTTCGATGGATCCGCAGAGGATGGGATCCGTGCCTTTCCGCAAAGACGAAGCCTCCAGCAGCAACAGTTTGCTCCAGCTCCAGAATGCGTACGAGTATCCGGAGCCTCAGCCTGCGCCAGCGGCAGTAACATCGCAGGAGCAGTACTACCACGATCAGTACTAGCGTGTGGGTTTTCGTAAGATCGGCTGGACTAATGTTGTAACAACCTTGTTATTCTCGAAAACAACTTGCGTAGATTAAGAAACGTGTCAATACGTTTGTCGTGCTTGCTAGCTCACCAAAATACAGTTCGATGATATGGAGATACGCGAGAAACAAAAATATAGGCCATTGCGTTGAATTCATCTGCACAAGAAAGAGGCTTTGGTGAGCAAGAAGAAAACTTGCAAGAGCGGGCTTACCGCAGATTCAGGCCAGCAGCACGAACCAAAGCGTCGCTACAAGTCACTCTGCGTCATTCTTGTCTCAGCTTAATGACCTTGCCAATGGCGACAGTCTTGCCTGGAATGGAAAGCACAACACCAAATCTCAGTAGTAGCATAGTAACAGAAGTTGAGAGACAAGCACCTTCGTCACGCAAAGTGAAACGGCCCATCTGTGGAAGGTCCTGAAACTTCTCAATGCAGATTGGAGCAGGAACCTGGTATGGTTTTGTGAATATAAAGGGCTCGAGTGGAGGAAAAAAAGAAACAGCTTACCTGAATCCTGACAACGACAACGGCGCCACCCTTGACAAAGAGCACTTTTTTCTTCATTGGCTTCTTGGTTTTTGGGTCAATCTGTTGCATGAGCTCCATGATCTCACATTCTTCCACGACCGCGTGGATGTGGAGAACAGCCTTATATCCAGCCGTGAATATAGCCTGCATGAAATCGAAGCTGTAAGACCAGCTTACGCAATTGCAGAATGCCTACCTTGTGATCGAGAAGTTCCAACACTTGAAGCTGAGCATCGAACTCCAGCACAGCGGGGATTGCGTTGCCTGGATAACGAGGGTAAGGAAAGAGAACAAAATATCAGTCAGGGAAAAGCTTACTGCTGCTGGAGAGCACAAAACCAGATGAAATGTCATCTTCCTCAAGACCAGACAGCCGTACTCTTAAATTTTCTCCCGGTTTGGCTTGATTGACTTCATCAGCGTCACGGAAGATGGTGATAACCTTCACTGGAGCCTGTACAGAATTAAACAATGTCAGTAAACACATTATTTATATCATGCCAACCTTGTTGGGCATGACCACTAAATTATCGCCCCGCCTCACGGATCCCGCTTCTATCTTTCCCATGACCACCGTGCCCATGTCCTTGTATCTGTCGATGATCGGCATCCTGAGAACGGCAAATGTAACACTGTCAAGTCCACCGTTTATTCGGACACTCCAATACCTGAACGGACCAGTAGCGTCCCTTTGAGGCGGCTCCACGCTGTCTAATGCCTCAAACAGACAAGGCCCTTCCCACCAAGAGCAGACAGACGTCGGCATTCTTTCTTTGAGGTTTGTTCCATAAAGCCCCGAGATTGGAAGGAATTGGACATCTGCAATCAGAAGTATAAGCATTTTAGACAAAGAAAGTAGATAGCACAAAACCTTTCTTGATGTTATAACCACATGACTTCAGAAATGGAGTCATCTTCTTCTCAATCTCGTCAAACCTAAGAAAGAATTAGTAGCAGACAAGGAGTCGAGATAAATACCTTTCCTTGTCCCACCCAACGGAAGGATCGTCCATCTTGTTTACAACAACCAAGAGCTTCGCTACACCGAGTGTCTTTGCAAGTTGAGCGTGCTCCCGTGTCTGGCCTCCTCTTTCGAATCCCGTTTCAAATTCACCTTTGCGAGCGGATATAACCTGCATAGTTTTATCTTGTGACAATGTAGCGCTAAAATATCGTGACACTTACCAGCACGCCAATGTCCGCTTGTGAAGCACCACTGATCATATTTGGCACATAGTTTTTGTGCCCCTGAAAAAAAGCACTTTCAGACAAAGGAACAGAAAAAAAGAGAGTAGAAAACAGCTTACGGGAGCATCCAGAATCGTGAACCTCGTTTTAGCCGTTTCGAAGGAAGCCCTGCCAACTTCCACTGTCTTTCCCTATATTTACAAGACACACCAGAATAAAACCGGCAAGAAAACATTCACAAAGTGGAAGAAAGTGCGCACCTTCGCACGCTCTTCTTCGTTAGTATCCATAATGTAGGCCATGTACCTGAGAAACAAGAGACAATCAGTTATGGCCGAAGAGGAGAAATAAAAAACAACGAAGCACCGACCAGCTCTCGCGATTCTTCTCCTTGGCTTCCCGCTCGTATTTCTGTATGGTGCGTTCGTCCACCATACCACTCAAAAAAAGAATCTGTCCACCGATTGTGGACTTGCCAGCATCTACAGTGAGACAACAGTGAGCTAACTTCGTCAGCAAAAGCGAAAACTTGATTCATACCAACGTGACCAATGAACACAACATTCAAGTGCGATCGAGTGTCAGTAACATCTTCGGGAAAATCTTCCTTGCTTGGTGCTGGTTCCGCATCCATCTCGTCGCGAGTTTCTACATCTGGGATACACGATTAGTAACACTAAAAAGAAGAAACTAAGAGGAAAGAAACCTGGTGAGATCTTGGTGGCTTCGAATTTCTCCACAATTTCCTCTGACAGTGGTGACCAGGTGAGAAGAGAAAATGCCAAGAAAATTCGATCACTCACCCGGAAGAGGGTCCTCCTTCTTTGTTTCCTTGGGAGGATCCACCTCCATTCCATTGGCCTGGTCGAACGCCGCCGAATCCTCTGGCTCAGGGACTGGAATTCGGACCGGGATCGCAAATCCAGGCTGATGCGCCGGCTGTGGAGCTGGAGCTGGTGTCGGCGGCGCTGGAGCTCTGGGCATGAAAGATGGCGCCGACGGATTGAATGTGAAGGAAGGCGCCGATGGATTGAGCCGTGATGCCGCTGGCGCCTGTGACCCTGCCGGCGATTCAATCTCCTCCCATGAATCCAAGTCCGTCATCGTTCACGCGCACTCTGGAACCCTGAAAACCCTAGTTCTCCCTCCCCGGATTCGAGCTCCAGACCACCACGCAGTGTCTTAAGCACGAGGCATATTCCTGAGGCAAAATAGGAAAGGGAATAGAATATTCACTTACAAGGTCTTGGGAAGTCGGGGCAGCTACTACGGCGACGCCGAGGCGAGGCGTGCGCTTAGATCTGCCCATTTCTTCGATCACAACGAGGTGCCAGCGCTGGCGATGGATTTGTGACTAGGTATTGCGCGAATTCCAGCCATGACGACCGCCAGCAAGATCAAATCGATCGATTTCTATAGGTATTGTGGCCCTCCTGTCATGTCTTGAGCGATTCTAACACGCGCGCCAGGAAAATTCCGAGAGATCTAACCGAGGCATCGCTCTCTGGAGCTGGACTGTCGCTGATCGCTGCTTTTGCGATGATTTTCTTGTTTGGAATGGTAAGCCTTGCTTTTTTTTTCGTGAGAAAAGCTAGTTATTATTTTCTTCTCTTGTAGGAGCTAAACAATTACTTGACTGTGTCGAGCACAACGAACGTTGTGGTGGATAGAAGCAAAGATGGTGAATATTTGCGCATACAATTCAATATGAGGTACTTTCTAGTCCCTTTGTTTTTCCTCCTTTGCTTTGATCTTACCTTTGGGGTTCTATAAACTTCGAAATGGTTTTGTAGTTTTCCTGCTTTGTCCTGCGAATTTGCTTCGGTTGATGTGAGCGACGCACTGGGAACTGTAAGTAGCCTGCTGGTTTCTATTGCAACGCTGCTCACGGCCGGTTTGCAGAATAGATATAATCTTACCAAGACAGTGAGAAAGTACCCGATTGATCCAAATCTAAAGATTGTCGGACCTGAGTTTCATCCCGGTCCTATTCCCAATCCAACAAGTCACGGTGACGACGATCACGAAGGAGAGGGCGCTCACGTCCTTACGAGCAGCACTTTTGATGAATATGCACGCCGGTAAGTAGCGACATTGCTTTTTTGGCTTATGTTTTGGCCCATGCAATATTGTTTGCCTGCAGGTATTCGGTTTTGGTCGTCAACTTCTATGCTCCTTGGTGCATTTGGAGCGCTCGTTTGGTAAGCTCCGGGCTTGCAAAAAATTCTGTTTTGTGACTTGTGCTTGTACATCCAGAAACCATCCTGGGATAAAGCGGCTGGAATTATTGCTGAAAAGTAAGTCGTCAGGTTTTGTCATTCAGGCAGCGGTTTTATTTTTATGTTTTGTTTCCAGGTATCATCCCGATACCGGAAGAATTCTACTTGGAAAGGTGGATTGTACTGACAACAATGATCTCTGCAGAAAGTAAAGTATTTTCCTTTCCTCGCATTGTGATCGATTTCTGGTCTTACAGGCATCATATTCAAGGATTTCCATCGATAAGAATTTTTCACAAGGGCCACGACCTGAAGTAAGATTTTACTATATTGGTTGTAGAGACGACTCTAATGATCAATCTCTTTGTGCAGGGGGTAAGCTTGTAAATGGTTTTTCGCAAAGTATCAATTTTACGCTCAGGGACGAGCACGGTCATCACGAACACGACTCTTACTATGGCGAGCGTGACACTGATTCTCTTGTCAAGGTAAACTAACAGATTTGGATCAAACAGCTTACAAGGAGCTTATCATCGTGTATCAGGCCATGGAGGCGCTTGTACCTAAAGAGACTACTCTTGCTCTGGAGGACAAAACCAATGGGACCGTAAAGAGGCCAGCTCCGCGTGCGGGAGGGTGTAGGATCGAGGGATTCATTAGAGCAAAGAAGGTTGTTGTCGTTGCTATCTACACTTAACGCTAAAACTTGGTTCTTCTGGTTCCCAGGTTCCAGGGAATATTATTATCTCGGCACACTCAGGGTCACATTCATTCGATGCGTCGGCAATGAACATGACTCACTACGTTAGCCAGTTCACATTTGGGCGGGAGCTCAATTTTTGGATGCGAAGGGAGCTCTATCGCATATATCCTCATCTAGCATCAGTTTACGACACAGTGGAAGCTAATCTCACTGGCAGGATATACGTCTCACAACACGAGAACATCACGGTAAGAGATCTCTCTTCCATTTATTTCTACTGTAACTTACAGAAACTTTTTTTTTTTTTTTCTAGCATGATCATTACTTGCAAGTCGTCAAAACGGAAGTTGTCTCTCTTCGAAAGAGAAAGGAGTTTAGCCTCTTGGAGCAGTACGACTATACATCGCACAGCAACACTATCCAAAACACGAACGTTCCAGTTGCAAAGTTCCATTACGAACTCTCTCCAATGCAGGTATGCAAGAGTTGCTTTTAAACTATCTAGGTTTCGTGCTTCGCAGGTTTTGGTGAAGGAGAACCCAAAATCCTTTTCACATTTCATCACCAATGTCTGTGCGATCATCGGCGGTGTATTCACTGTAAGTCTTAAGTTTGGTTTATGTTTCACTTGAGAGAGCTTTTTCATTTAGGTGGCGGGGATTGTTGACTCAATGCTGCATGGTGCAATGCGCATGGTGAAGAAGATTGAATTGGGAAAGCAATTTTGAGAGGAAAGAAAAAAGTTTTTTCTTACACGAAAAAGTCTCTGCGTTTCTCTTTTTTGCGTTAGAAATACAGTCTCTGAAACAACAGTTAATTTAAACTCGCGATCAGACAACTCCAGAAGGAAGTCGCACAATGGATTGTCCCTCAAGAACGCTGGGAGAACGACAAAGAAAATTAGAAACTCATCAAAGAGTGAGGGCTTTGAGTGAGACCTTTTGACGTAGTAGTAGCAAAAATCAGCCAAGATGAACGTTTGTACGATCTCGGAAAGAAGAACCATGGAAGGCCACCATCCATAGCCCAAGGCATTGATCAAATAGCTCCGGCCATCTATAATCTGTAACACAACTTCTTGCTCAAACTTTGAAGAGAAGAAACAAAAGAAAAATCAAAGTTTTTACCTGGAGCACCCAATGCGCACAGCTCAAAAACCTGGCCACACCAAGTGCAAACACATAATGCGCGGTAAAGGGCTCTACAACCTGGCAAAGGAGAGACAACGAATAAGTCATGACAGAACAAGAAGAAACCACGACAAGAAAGAGCAACGATGATTTCCACGCGTGTACCTTGGTGTTTTGCATAACTCGCAGCTGAGGCAGCACCGAGACAGCCTCCAAGTAGACGCAAAACGCCCAAAGGATTCTGTTGACGACGTTATGCGCTGTAGAAGGATGAATGAGAAAAGCAAGAGCGGCACACGGTATGATCTGGACACAGCCAGGAAACTCAAGACAAGGAATCCAACAAAAGAATGGAAAAAATCGAGGAGAATGGTAACGACAAGAGGACGAACCACGTAGTATGACGGGAGGTTGTCGAGATCTTCCATGTAAGTCGACTTGAGCTTGAAGCGCAGCATGTAAATCACCCACAGCGTGGTGGCCAAAGTTGCCGTGTCGAGAAGGGTGTGGATGTCATACTCCATTACCACGCTACAGTAGAGCCTCACAGCGAGAAAAATGGCTGTGAGCTCCTGCGATTTCAGCGACAGGCCTGGGGCGAAAGCACGAAGGGGAATTTTCGACCGGAAGAACAAAAAAATCAATCTTTGGAGTCGCTCACTCACCAGCGCAAGTTCTTTCCTTCTGGAGCTTGTAGATGAGCACGATGATGCCGACGGAATGGATCGCCTCCGCGAGAACAAAGAGATTGTCGTGATCCACGACTAGAAACCTAAGAAGCACGAGCATCGCGATGGCGCCGACGCAGCCCAGCGCCGTCTTCACCTTGGGCGGCTGGCGGCGGAGCCAGAGAAGAAAGCCCTGCACGGGATTGCGAGCTCGCCCCGCCATTCTCAGATCTTCGCCTTCTACCAAAGCCCTCAACCCAAGGCTCCTTCTCATCAACCCTAAAATAAAAAATAAAATCTCTTTCACGCTATTCACGCTTGAAGTTGGCCTTTTATCTATGATGGCTTGCCCTACCTTTAAAAGTGCCTCGCATAGTAAGCTCTTAAAGGTGCCTGGATTTGCAAGAATTTGCTGATAGATACATTGTGTTCGATTTTTCAATGGTGCTAGAGTTTAAGCCTGCGAGGAGATGATATCGTTTGAATCGTCTTTCATCTAGAAAGAAAATCCATCAAATCACCAGAAGAAGATCCATGGATGGACGAATTACCTGACTAAGATGACGCTTTAAAGCTGCCTGGAGGGAGCTTTTCATTTCTTTGCACCGCGAGTCCCGATCGCTAACTTCCGCTAGCGATTGCTGGAGACGATCGATCAGTGCGTATGGAAACCAGGCCGCAGACACTTTCTTGCGCTTGATCACGTCAGTCGGTCTCTGGATGAAGGTAGAGAATTTTGAAACGGCGAGCACGACGAACTATTAATGCGTACCATGTTAGCCCATGCTCGGAGATAGTCTAGGATCAAAGTTGAAGCTTCTACCAGGCGTCCATTATCCACGTAAATCCTGAGTAAGGCCGCGGGATCTCCATCCTGCCCTGCCATTCCGAAAGGATTTACAGACTTGCCTCCCTGCAATAAATGCCAAAGTCAAGCACAGAAAAACCTTAAATCCTTGTGGTGTTTCTTACCTTTAAAAGGTCAGTAAGCCAAAGCGGTAGCTCCATGTTTTTGTTCACGGAAATAATTGTCTCCGCAACGACAACCGGAAGACGAGGATGCACCGGTCGATATTTCTCCTGATTTAAAGTAGAAACATATTTCTCAGGTTTGTTCATTGTGAATAGTAATTACCAGATTCCGCTGCAAAGATTGCCAATCCCCTTTAGAAGCTGCAGGAAGCTCGCCATCTGTGCTGTCTACACCAGTAAGCATCAAAAGCTTCCCATTCGGTGGCCTGCAAAGAACTGATGAGCAAATGACAAAGGAGGAATGTCACAACCTGAGGCTCGTCTGTTGGCTGCAACAATTTCTCGCAATCAGCTCAAATGTTTTCTCAAGCTCCCTAAAGAATGAACTCGTGTTATAGTCGAAGTCATAGTCAAAAGTCGCAGGTCCTTACCTTTTCAATACAGAGCCTTTCCACAGTCTAAACAGCGTAGAGAATGCGCTCTCGTACAAACCATACTGAACAAGTAGATGAACAACCTCTGAAGGGGATAGCTCTCCTGGCGACAATCAAACCTTTAACAAGTTTAACGTACGCAGTCAACAAGTACCTATTGTCGGATGCTTGATGCTTGCCTGTACAAGCTCCAACTTGGCAACAGCAAGAACGTATTGTTTGTCCAGTTCTTCAATATCGACAACGTTCTCTTCTTTGACAACCGCAACGTAGTTCACGACTGAAAAGGAAAACGAAAACATGTCACTCCATCGCCAACACCGTTCATTATATGCGTACCTCCCGTACCAGCCAAACGAGGGCGTTTTGAGGGAGAAGAGCTGGACTTCTCATCAGCAATTGTAAATTGCAAATCTATCCACGCAGAGGACGGACTTACAAGGCTGAGAGTGTTGATTGCCGCAGCAAGCCCGTTCACCTGCTCTTGAAAAGCAACCGCAACTTGAAGACGAGACTTGGACACACCTTCGTCCCTCATTCTCGCAGCATATCGATACATGTACCCAGCTGCGCGTCTGTAGTTGTGATGATGAAGGCTAAAGGCATACAGAAGCTTGTAGACGTTTGGTTTTGCGCTCACGTCAGAGTATTCTGCCTGTAAATGCAAGCACAATAAACAAATATCGAACGTAAAATTCATGCTCACCTTCCAAGCCAACTCCTGCTCAACAGTGTCGAGTAAACCAGCATACGGAAGGTCTCCACCACATAAAATCTGCTTCACAACACAATAAGAAACTTGCTTCTACACCAGGTAAAACGTACCTGCGTAGCTTTACGCTCGCAAAGGACCACCACGAATCGCCGCAAGCACGTAAGTTTCACCTCCTCATCCGGATTAGAGACGATTGCAGTATATGCTTCACCATACAGTTCCAGATCCATCGAGAACTTAAAAACGTTGGCCCACAGCCGTCCCTTTGTCCCAATGGTGTTCCTGTCGCTTCCAGCCTGATCAACCTGATCAAGTGCTGCCAAAGCAAATTGACTCGCGCCTTCACTGAGGTTGTGCTGCTCAAAAATTTGCATCACCCATTCAAAGTACTGAAGCTTCCAGGCTGCAGCAGTTGATTCAGGCAACAAACTCTTTCCTCGAAAAAGCGAATGAAACCTCTCATCGGAATCTCCCAGTGTAGCTGCAGCCCTGTAACGCCACAATAAATACCAGGATACGGGATACTGGAAAGACACCTGAGACATACCTGAAAAAGCAGGAAGCTGCGTCTTTTATTTCCTGTGATTTGTTTGATCCATTCCCGCTGCACGCACGAGCCAAGCGACAAAATCCTAGCAAATGCAGCCTGGCGCTGCACTCACCATCGGCAGCGAACACGTCGTCTAGGAACGTTTGTTCGTTCGAGTGCCTTTCGACAATGCTCAGCAGACTCTGGTTTACGACATGCAACGTGAATGTTCGGTTGCGAAAAAGGGAAAAAAGTTTTAAAAGCGCACCTCAAGACCGCGGTATTGCCCATGTTTCAGGAGGATCACCGAGAGGTCTATTATTCTCCGCGGAAAGTTCAGACGACTATCTTGGCCCACCGACAACCACGTAATAAAACCCCTTGCATAGTCAAGCAGATCTCCTTTCTCCACAAAAGCTCCACTGTGATTGCGAAAGGTCACGGGTGCTGCTTCAAAAAACGATGCCCCCAGGATTTCTGCCAAAGTAAACTGTCCAAATCCCAGACCTCCTTTCCAGGCAGTGTTGGCAGCACCATCTATAAAATATGTCAGGCAGAGCGATATGTGTATGAACACGTACCGAGTCTTAGAGATGCCAATAGCGAGTTAAAATCATCCGAATCTGGGGCTTCGCCAGGAGTTACTGTTAACCAGTATAGCAGCAAGTTGATAAGCATTGCTTTCTTAAGACGTGGTAAGATTTGCAGCTGAATTCTTGATGCCTCGCTTCCAGTAAGATTTACCTGCTTGAATAGGTAAATAAACAATGCGGTCAATGGAATAGCACTTCTATACTTGCCTGTGATTTCATGTTGATGACATAGCTCAAAAGCAAAACCAGGTTGCGGCATTCCTGATAATGAGCCCATAAAACCTGAGAGGTTGCCTGCGTAATCAACTTTGTGAAAGCGTTTCCCATCGGTGGAATTTCACAAGACTTTTGTGTGGAGCCGAACAAAAGGCATCGCTCGTAGTTCGCAATGCTGTCCAATACACTGCTCCAATTACCAGCAACGTCCTTGATAGCCAATAACTCTTGGCAGATTTTGAAGTTGAACAGCCTTTGCTTTGTGTGCCGCACCTTTTCCTTTTCACGTAAACCATCCACGCCGATGCTCAAATCCTGCCGCGGCTGAGAGCCGACATCGAGATTGTGTACGCAGGTAGCTACTAGTTGGTCAATAGAAGCACCCTTGCGTTGCAGAAGCGATTCATCGAATACAGCCAGCGGGAGTTCTCCAATGTGAGTAATAACCAGGTGCACACATGACATAAAGCGCTTGAGAACTTCACTATCATTTCCTACAGGAAGAGATTAAAATGGAAACTCAATCAAAATTATCACGCTTACTCCATGTTGTTCTTTCGACACTGCTTTGTGAGCGAATCAAAGACAGGGAGGACTTTCTCACTAAGCCGACGCATCCAGTGGTTGCATCTGCCAGGAGAACATACGGACTGTGGTTCTTCTTCCATGCCCTCGCGTACTCTGTTACAAAATTATTCCTTTGCTCAAATTGTTTAGCCTCGTCTGTGATCTGCAAAGTAACACAAACGATAAGCTGAAAGCGCTCACAAATTCTTCCCACCTTGATCGCTAAAGAGATATCTCGCCGCCAGTCCTCTTCCACAGAAGTTCGTAAACTAGAATCGTTGACAATGACACCACGCCCTTGAAGAACTTGCTGGGCTGTCTCGTGGTGAAAAAATCCTGGCTGCAGAAGTCTTCTTATCAGTATCTCCGTTATGGTTCCTTCCTGAAACTCGTTGTTAAATAAAAATAAACCAGAAGCTTTAGAATGTAAGTTACAGTTGGCAGGAACGGGAGATTATCGCCGTCGCCGATGACGAGTTGCTCATCTAGCTCCGTTTCTTGCAAAACAGAATGCTGCGGAAGCACTCCCCTGCAATTTATGTGAGCTACGTCCAGAAAGTAGAAAATAAAAAATAAAAATAAAAACAAAATCGGCGTACAGTTGAAGCTTTAAATGCATAAGATCAGAGTCCACTGTATTGTGAGTAAGGATCCATAAGCTTCCTTGCACCAGCATCACATCTACAACAACTCCCTAAAAGAAGCAATTAGCTATATACTATGCGCTGGGATCTAAGTACCTGCTCGACGGGGATAACTTGCTGCAATGTAGGCATTCCCAGCTGAAGCCCACTGGACGGCTGCGGGTCCATGGTGTAAATGCATATGGTGCTCCTTGTCTTTGTCTATGCAAAGAACATAGAAAAGAATGTTAAGTTTACGATGCACAGAAAACAATACCAGCGAAGCTTCAGTAAACAGGACAGCTAGCTGCTTAGACGCTGCAAACACGCCGTCTTCCGTCCACATCTGTGATGCAGATGAACCTGAGAGAATGCTTAGCTCTAAGACCAGTAAGCATAAACGTTAAACCATTGCCTGTCAACTCCGGAGATGGGCAGATATTGTGACTAAACAGTCGAAAGTGTTGAAGGGGATCCCAAGCTTGCAAGGTCCCGTCCTCATGAAGCACAAGAAGCACATGTTTGTTGTGAATTTCTTGAACTGCCAGACTTTTAACTGATGCCGCAGACTTGTTTCTGGAAACTCGCTAATCAGCCAGTGTCAAAAGCCTCAGAAAACAAACTCTACCTGGAAACCAGTCCCCAAAGACGTCCAATTCCAGCATCACCACCTTTGAGTTCGTAACAAATATCTACATCACAGAGCGTTAGCTTCCGTTGGTCACAAAACATCGTACCTTGCGCGAGATCGGTGAAAAGAGAGAAGCAAAGCACAGAGCCATTTCGCCCCCCAACGAACAGGATGTTTCTCGCGGCTGTAAAGGAGGTGACTTCATGAAGCCTGGTGAATTCGCTGGAAAGATCCCGAACCATCAAAGTGGAGTTTGATAGAACGAAATTGCTCCACAGCTCCATCGCCACTGGAAGCTTGACGACGTACACGATACCCGACGCAGCCACAATGGTGATAGTGAAGTTGAGGCCCTGGCCATTGTTAACCTGTAAGAGAGTAGTTCTTAGCTCCTGAGAAGAACGAGAGAATTCCCTTTGGAAACTTGCCTCGATGGGAAATATTCCAGCGAAAGGACACAAAGCTTCGCTAAACAAAAGCCGTAGGCCATAGCCCGGGAAATCTTGCTGGGGCGAGAACTGCACGATCTCCATTGCCGAGGGCGAGGATTGATGAATGCGCCTAGCAGAAACAGCGAATGCAGCCTCAAGAAGAAGGAGAAGGAGATCCCACACTCTCTTACCAGATGATGAAGCAATCCCGCGCTTTGCTGGTCGCGCTGGGAACGAGCGCGGCGCCAGCGGCATTGATCGGCGCAGGGCAGCAGCACGATACCGCCGGTGGTAATCTCGGCCCCGGAACACCGACATTCGTCCATCGCGTCGCCTCGCTTCCCACCAGCGGCACCTCCATGAAAGCCCTAAACCCTCTTCCAGGGTTGTACGGTAGGCAGAGTTTGTTGTACGGGCATCTTCCGCGAAGCAAGTTTAACCTCGTCAGTATAAAAGCGAGAAGAATTTACATGAGTAAAGTAAGCAAAATCGTCCACTCTCAAACGAGTGAATTCTCTTTTTTTACCGTTTAATCCACCCGGCCATCTTTCGATGTTCTTCGCGGCGCCAGGCCTTTGGCCGATAAGCTCTCGGTCAGCTTGAAGGAAGAACTTCCCACCGCTTCCTCGCCATCGTCCCACTCCTCGTCCCAGACTTTGTCCCACGATCCATCGTCTTCCACCTCTAGCGCAGTCCCAGCTCCATCTCGATCTGGAGCTCCCATCTCCAGCTCCACATATCTGTGCTCGCCCGCGCTCGATTGTCCCGTTTTCTTCACCCTGTAGCGGCAGTAGAGCCAAGATCCCATCACCAGAACGAGTGCCGCGGCTAGCATACTCAATCCCACCACCGGAGTTCTCAGGGCCGAGTAGCGGAATCCACCCAGCAACGTTTTCTTCTGATCGCTGTATCCGAGATTGTGAGAAGGAACTGGGAGTTTGCACGACTCGGTGTCGGATTTCACTGTGATCTGGATGGAAGATTGGAGCTTGGCAGCTTCTGGATCGACCATCTCTATCTTCACCTGGAAGAGATGGTGATAGAGAGCATGAAAAAAGAGAAAAAAAACTATCTAAGACTTACTTGGATCTCTTTTCCATCGGCTGTGGTTGTGAGCTCCGAAGGATCGGCGCTCAAGAAGCTCGGTGTGATCACTTTCACTTTGACGACTTCGTGGCTCTTGATCACAAGAGAGAGCATTCCTGCGAGAATCAAGGAAAGAACTATCAAGCTAGAAAAGAAAATTCTTGCCTACCATCGCTAGAATCGCCGGGAGAAGAGAGGCAAGCGCGCATTTTAAGACCGCAACAGTGACCAGGATCTTCTTCCTCGGCCTCCGGTGGAGGTTGAGCTCCCGTCGATGGCGGCGGATCCTCCTCCTTGGTCTGATTCTTGGAAGAACCGGCAGTAGCATTGAAATCTTCCTGTAGCATCCAGAATCCATTCTCACCGCCTTGGCATTTTCCCACAAGAATCTTACCTTGGACTCGATCTTGGACGGCGGCGGGGGCGGCGGCGGCGGTGGCGATGGCGATGGCGGTGGAGGAGGCGACTGATGATCTTGATCTTGGCCTCCTCCTCGATCGACATCGCCATTAGCATCGCCTGATCCAGCCTTGCGCGACGATTGAGCTGCGCCGAAAATGCACAGGAGCAAGAGAATGGCGAGCAGCGCGGGGAGCCTCCCATGGAATTCCATGGCCGATAAACCCTAATAACATGCCTTCCTTTCTTGGAGGTAAAAAAAAGGTTAAAAGTTTTAGGGTTTATCTCATTGGCGAGGGCGGCGGCGTGACGCGATCCCCTTGGCGCCATGGGGAAGAAGCCGAATCCGCGAGTCTTCTTCGATATTACCATCGCTGATGATCCCGCCGGAAGGGTTGTGATGGAGGTGAGAGCTCCTAGTGCGCGTCCATCGATTCTTCTACTAATGTGGGCGCATTTTCTACGCAGCTCTTCGCCGATAAGGTTCCTCGCACCGCGGAAAACTTCCGCGCTCTGTGCACGGGTAAGTCTCCATCGCATCGCGCTCTGCGAAGATCAACGATTCTCATTCTTTTTTTGGGGGGGACTTCCTCACAGGCGAGATAGGCAAAGGCAAAGAAACTGGACAGCGACTACATTACAAAGGCTCTATCTTTCACAGAGTTATCAAAGGTTTCATGGCTCAGGTATGTGGTTTTGTTCTACTTTTCGGCTGTGTGTGACTTAGTGCATGGCAAGCAGGGCGGGGATTTTACCAAGGGCGATGGTAATACACACTTGTTCATTGCGATGTAGCCGACCATTTCTCATCTCCGATTCCTGCAGGAACTGGTGGAGAAAGTATTTACGGTGGCAGATTCAATGGTTTGTATTTCTTTTCCTAGCGTGCTTTAATTTTTTTTTCCATTCTGGCTCTTGTAGACGAGTCCTTCGTTTGCACTCATGACACGCCTGGAGTTTTATCCATGGCGAATGCCGGACCAAATACCAACAAGTCACAGTTCTTCCTCACATTTGCACCTGCGCCACATCTTAACGGGTGCGATTTCTTCTTTTGCGCTGCTTTTTTTTCATGAATTTTTATTCAGGAAGCATGTGGTATTCGGCCGTGTCGTAGAGGGTCTCGAAGTGCTCAGAAAAATTGAGTTACAGCCTGTTAAGCCGGTGTCGAACAGACCTTTTGATACGATCAAGATTGTTGATTGTGGGGAAGTCTCTGAGAACAAAGTTGCAGCAAAAGGTATAACGGTGTTTTTTTTGCACAGTTGTTTTAATGCTCTCTATTTCGTAGAGAACGAGAAAGCCAGCAAGAAGCATAAAACGGTCAACGAATACTCATCCAGCGACGAAAGTGAGGACGACAGAAGATCGAGGAGAAGGCGCCGGAAAACTTCAGACAAGAAGAAGAGGAAAAACCGTCGGTATTCTGACACAGATTCGGAGAGCGAATCTGAGCTCTCTCCGTCGTCGTCAGACACATCCAGTGAGGAGGAAAGGCGCAGAAGGCGAAGGCGTTCAAAAAAGGAGAAATCGAAGAAGAGAAAGGAAAAGCGGAAACACAAAGATAGAAAACGCCGAAAACACAATAGGTTTGGTCTACCTCGTACTCTCCAGGAATGTACGCTTACTTGCTTTGTTTCAGGTCGGACAGTGAAGCAGGAAGCAGTGCAGAATCGGAGAGTGACGCGGAAAAGGAGCGGGATAAGAGAGGAAAAGCCAGCAAAGAGCGTCAGGATGTGATCAGTGTTCGTGCCGAGGAGAACAAGGCCGGTCGAGCAGAGGCGCCACCTCCAAAGTCATCAAGGTAGAAAGATGATAGACAATTAGTCTGGCTAACATTTTAAGACAGGAGTCAAAGTGCTAGTCCCGTCCATCACAAGGAGGCAGTCGCGAGGCGGAGCCGCAGTCTGAGCAAATCCCGAAGCCGAAGCCCTGCAAAGCGAGCCGCTCGAAGTGTGACACCCCCGCGGTACATAAGTCCGAGTCCAACACCTTCACCTCATCAAGGTGCAACACCTCGCCGTCATCGGAGTCCTCCATCACCTCCACGACGTAGGAGTCCTGCGCCAAAGCGTCAGACTCCACCACCTTCGCCGCGCCGCCGGAGCCCATCTCCTCCACGCCGCCGAAGCCCGACAGCTCCACGCCGTGCTAGTCCCGATCGAGAAGGCAGAATCCGTCGAGGCAGAGGATTTAGCCAGGCTTACTCCTACGCTCGGCGCTACCGCACGCCATCGCCGGACAGGTCTCGTGGATACAATGGGGGCGGAAGAAGCAACAGGTAAGCTCATTCCCAGCTTTTTGTTTTTCCTTCTCCTCTGAGCTCTTTGTAGCAGGAACTACAGGCACTATTCTCCAGCCCGAAGGCCCAGAAGTCCTCCAAGAAGGTCAGTTCTTGGTTCTCTCTCTCTAGCTTTGGTGGTGAATGTGGGTGGCCATTTGATTGCCAGGTACCGGAGAAGCTCTAGCCGGAGTCGCAGCCGCAGTCCAGAAGATCTTCGCCATCGACTTGGTCCTCGAAGAAATGGATCCCAGCTTCCCAGGAGGCCGACTCGGAGTAGATCTCGGACGCCGCCGCCACGCTCGCGAAGCTCCCGGTCGCCAGCACCACGCTCGCGGAGGTCGCGGTCACCAGCACAGCCTCACCCGCGGAGCCTAGTTTCGTACGGTGATACCAGTCCGTAGGAAAACTTCTTCTTTTCTTGTGAATCTTGTGTTCTTTGTTTTGTGAAGCGAAAATGTAGTTAACTGCTTTGCTAAGCTTGGATATTTTAAAGTATTTTACCGTTAATTCATTTAAATTAGTTTTATGTAATAATTTATAAACTTTCTTAAACACTTCCTAGTATATTTTCTTTTGTTCATAAATTATAAACATGTGTATAATTATGAACTCTCAATTGATCACTTAGATTAATAAGAACCGTCGCACAGCAATTTATTTATTAAAACCACGTAACTTTGAGAAACTCTCTAAGGGATTCTCTTCTTCAACCGGGCCAGAATCAAAACGAAGCACGTTATTCCAAGCCACCCACAGCCTCTCCACAATATATGCTACTACGTCTTCCACACCCGACGGTGCCGGTGAAAATGAGCGCTCCTTGTGAGTCCGCTTCTGGCAGCCAACTAAACTTCCCATCTTCCCCTCATCCAGCGCAAGCCACAGATTGATGCTGAATGGCACACAGGGCGCCAGGCTTTCCAAGAGCCACACGCACACCACCTCCACCACCCTCGCATTGCCATCTTTGAATGGCCTGCGGCCGAAAAACCACAGCAAAGTCTCCGCAGCGATTGTTATCAGGCGCTGGGCGCGCTGCTGCCAACTGAGGCTCGGATCATCCTCCAGAGCTCCCAGCTTGGTGTGGAGCTCATCAATATACTTGCCCAAGGCATCAGTATCAGCTTCAGCTTCTTCACCACTACCGTGATTCATCATCACAAGCTTGTGCACCTTGACAACATCATCCAGGCTGATGAGGACTCCCTTTTCTTGCCTCGTATCCATGTAATCTGCAGCAGCAACCAAGCCCGCAGGGATGGCGCGGGGACCTTCCCTGGGGTCGTAATTTAAACGTAGCATCCTGGCCCTGGTGGCACCTGGCTCCAGCGTAAACGCTCGCGGAGCCACACACAGGTCTAAGAATTCCAAGAGCTGCATCTGCTTTCCAAGCTCAGGGTCAGGGACCTCCGACAGCTTGGGATGCACGCCCTCGATTTGTTGCAAGAGTTTGGAGGTGCCCACCTCTGGAACATACGGCCAGGCTCTTTTGCATCCCCACCGATGCCATCCGGGCAGCTCTGTCGCCCATGATCCCAGAATGGGCAATTCCTTCTCCATGATTCTCTTGACTTTTCTCAAAGGATTCTCTTCTTTAAAGACCTTGTGTGTGGCTTATATTCTCGTGAGAGGGGGATGTACTTTCAAGATCACCCTTTTACGTGTATATATACTTGATAAACTTCTCCTCTTTAGGTCAATTTGAAATGATGGAGGCAGTGGCGAGGACGAGCCGAAGAAGCCGAAGAAGCCCAAGCCCTGCAAAGCGAGCCGCTCGAAGTGTGACACCTCTGCGGCACACAAGTCCGAGTCCAACACCTCCACCTGGTCCAACTGGAACACCTCCCCGTCATCGTCGGAGTCTTCCATCACCTCCACAGCGTCAGAGTTCACCACCTTTGGCGCGCATCGGGAGCCCATCACCTCCACGCTGCACATCATGCCGAAGCCCACCACCCCCCAATCGGAAAGGAAGAATCCATCGAGGTAGAGGATTTAGCCAGGCTTACTCGGATGCTCGGCGCTACCATACGCCATCTCCAGACAGTTCTTGTGATGGTGGAAGAAGCGCCAGGTACAGGAGTCGCAGCCGCAGTCCAGAGGATCTTCATCAACTTCATTCTCAACGAAATGAATCTTTGGAAGATTATGGAATTGGAAAGAGTGACAAAGAACAATGATTAGGACAGCTTACTTAAAATGAATAGTTATTTTAAATAGTTACCTTTTCTTGCTTGTAAATTTATTCTGTTCTTTACATCTTTCCATCTCTAGTCTACCATTTACTTATATACCTCTTAGAGACTTCTCTTTTTTATTGGAAATGATGCGTGCTTTAAATCTATATTCTAAGTCACTATACATTGTTCAATTTCTTCTAAGCACAATCCCATGTATTTATATGAACGCATGCCATTCTCTAGATCCCAATTCCTTGCATCTTTCCTTGAAAACTCCTTTGGAGATGAACTTTGAGGTTTAGATGTGTACAATAGCACCCTAAACTCTACATAAACTCTATGGAGCTTTTCTTAAGCTCTAGATGCTGATTCCTCTTCACTCAAAATATTCCTTAGGAATGTCCAAATCTAGAGTATTCTTTCCTCTAATTAAGGGAATATAATCCTCAGGAAAACAAAAAATAAATAAAACAAAATGAATCATTTTCCATAAACCCAAATAAATCTGGAATGGCTTTGTACAATATGAATATTCTATTGGGCTTCTAGAATAAATTTAGACATGATTAAAAACATCTTGTAAAGGACTAATTTATGTTCTTAGTAAAAACTCAAAATAAAGTTTTAAATTTTAACATGATATTGATTTGATCTATTTTTCTTCATTTATATGTGTAAATGGATCATCTTTATAAAATGCTACTTTTATTTATTCTAGTAAAACTGGTTTTAGGAGTAACAAATGTAGAATGGGGGAAAAATAATACACTTACTGAAAATGATATTAACACCATTATCACTGAATATGAAAAACTTTTATCTCAACTACAAGAATGGAAACAATATCCATCAAATTTTATTAACTCAAGTTTTATAGATATTGATGGAGGAGGTGTTGTAATAAGAGTACAACGTTTTGCTATTGGACATTGTTCAAATGGAAATACAGAAGATAATTCTATATTTGGGGGGTCTCTAAGAAGGTCAATAAGAGAAGTATTAATAAAATTTTCAAAGGATATACTTAAAGCACGGTCTGATGAATGTAAAATTATATCTAATAAGTTTTCAATTCGTTATGCATTAGTAACTCGTTGGAAACCTTTTAATATTACTACAAACATAAATATAGATTATGAGTATAAAACAAATTGTCAAATTGCTCAAAAAACTTTAAATGCAGGTTTTTCTGATCATATTTTGTATAGAGGTCAATTTTTAACCTCACCAAATGGTAAAATCATATTATATTTACAATATAGTTGTAAACTTGCTTTGTTTTCTGAAAAAAATGTTATATGGGAATCCCCTAATGAGAAATATTATAATGGCCATTGCATTCTTAATATTCAAAATGATGGTAATTTAGTATTATATACAGAAGAAAGAGAAGTGTTATGGTCAAGTAATAAATATTGTAATCAGCAACCAAAGTGCTTTATATTTACTTATCTTATTATTCAAAATGACTGTAATATAGTAATTTATAAAGCATTAGCTGAAACTAGTGTGTGGTGGGCATTAAACAGTTATACAACTTGTTTTAATAATAACAAATTATAATTTATTTTTTATTTATATTCTTCTACCCTAAAATGCTGTTCTCAAATCTAAGTAGTCTGTTAACTTATGACGCAATTGATATAATTATAGCAAGAATGTGGTGATCTTATGTATCCTAATAAAACCCCATGCTTTCATTTTTATAAATTGGTAAAAGTTAGCATATTCTTTGCGGAGAGAAAGAATCTTTTAGCTTTTAACGAGCAATTTGGCGCCAAAATTTAGGGCTTTTAGGCTTCTAGGGCGCTGGCGCTTGGTTCCCAGCTTCGCGGCTATGGACAGCGTTCCAGGGCGGCAATGATCTCCATTCGCAGCAGCAGCAGCATTTCCACGGCGATCGATACTTCCCGACGGCCACGCTACAATCTCCGTCTGGATCAAGGCAGCCGCGAGGTCACAGAATACCTAGATCTCCTCCTCGCCTGCGGCCGGAGCAGGAATCTGGGCAATGGCCGGCGCTTGCACGCCAGGATCGTGGCCACCGGGCACCAGGACGTGATGTTCCTCGCTAATCACATCCTCATCATGTATGGCAAATGCGGGGGCATGGAAGATCTCTCTCGGGCATTCTCCGAAATGAAGAGAAGGAACATCGTCTCGTGGAACGCCGTCATCTCCGCCTACGCACAGAACGATCGATCCAGCGACGCCATCGTGATCTTCCTCCGGATGCTCCTGGACGGGATCCAGCCCAGCTACGTGACCTTCACGTCGGTGCTCAACGCATTCGCCGGGCCGGAGCTTCATCGCTGGGCAAAACTCGTCCACGATCTGGCACTCGAGGTGGGCTTTGGATCGCATCCAGTCGTCGCCACCGCGCTGCTCAACATGTACAGCAAGGTGGGCAGCATCGATCGAGCGCGCCAAGTCTTCGACGAGCTCGCGATCAAAGACGTTGTCAGCTGGAGCAACATGATCGCCGCGTATGCCCAGACCGGGCACGGCACCGAGGCCCTGGAGATGTTCCACCGAATGGACGCCGAGGGGATCCAAGCCAACGTGATCACCTTCGTGGCCGTGGTTCACGCCTGCGTTCTCGTGGCCCGGATCACCGACGCGCGGACCATCCACCGCCGGATCATCGAAGCGGGGCTGGAGAGCAACACCGTGCTTGGCACCGCGCTGCTCAACATGTATGGCAAGTGTGGCGGACTCCCGGAAGCCAAGAAGATCTTCGACAAGCTCACGGAGAGAGACGTGGTGGTGTGGAGCGCCATCCTGGAAGCGTATGCCCGGCACGGTCATCCCCGGGTAGCTCTCAAGCTCTTCACGCTCATGCAGCAGGAGGGTGTGAGGCCCAACGACGTAACTTTCGTGGGAGTGCTCGAAGCTTGCTGCCATGGCGGCTTCGTCCCCGAGGGCCGCTTCCACTTCGCATCGCTGGTGAGAGATCACGAGCTGAGACCCACTGCCCACCACGTCCACTGCATGCTGGATATGCTGGGACGAGCCGGGAAGCTGGAAGAGGCCGAGAGTTTCATCGCCCGAATGCCCGTCAAGGAGGAGGCCATAACTTGGTCGATCTTCCTGGGGTCGTGCCGGAGCTATGGCGATCTGGAGCGAGGCAAGCGCGCTGCCGAGAAGGTGTTTGAGTTTCTTCCTCACTGCCGAGCGGGATACTTGACGCTGGCGAGCATGTACACCGACGCAGGGATGCCGGAGGAGGCCGAGGCCGTTGCTCGTCTCATGGAGTCCCGGTGCCCGAAAAAAGAGCCGGGCTCGAGCAAGATCGTGGTGAGAGGCCGAGTTCACGAGTTCTGCGTAAGAAGTCAGTGGCATCCACAGGCGAAAGAGATTTACTCGTACCTGGACGTGCTCCACGCGCGAGCTCTCGAGCTGGGATACGTCCCGGACACGCGGCCACTGCTGCTCGGGAGCGTGGAGAGAAAGCTCCACAGCGAGAGACTGGCACTGGCATTTGGAGCAATGAGCGTTCCTGGTAAAAGAAACTCTCCCATTCATATTATAAAGAACCTGAGAGTGTGCCGGGACTGCCACGAGTTCACAAAGTTCGTGTCAAGGACCATGGAAGGTCGCGAGATCATCGTCCGGGACACTAGCAGGTTTCACCTTTTCAAAGACGGCGTGTGTTCTTGTGGAGATTACTGGTAGACGAATCTTCGAGTTCGTGGAGGCCAATCCAGTCATTTCACTTCTGGTACTCGAAGAACATCTGCCACACGGAGTAGTTAGCACCAGTGGAGACATCCAACCCGAAAAACAAACTCTACCTGGTGGACGAGCGAGCAGTTTGGCTGTGAATCCGCGCAGCAAGTAGCAGCACTCGAGCAATCAATCCCTTCTCACGACGGCATGTCCACCGCGACATGCTCCGCCGAAGCCTTCCTCCTCGACTTGAAACCGCAGCCCGGTGGCGAAGGTGAGAACTCAAACGGCAAAGCCGGCAGCTCGGCCTCTCCCGAGAAGATCTTCACCACGTCACTCATCGAAGGCCTGAGCGACGGCACCCTCTGGAGGCACAGCAGCGCCAGAGATATAAACAGCGTTGCCTGTTCCTTGGAGTAGGCTCCGGCCAGAAGAGGGTCCACTAGATCCAACCCCCGCCCCGCTTGAGCAGCATGGCGAGCCCAGGATATGAGATTCGCTCGCTCAAACTCGCTCAGCGGCGCCGCTACCACCTGCAATGGCCTCCGCCCCGACACCACCACTAGGAGCAGCACCCCAAAGCTGTAAACATCCGACTTCTCAGTCAGCACCCCACCGCCACCATACTCTGGAGCGACGTAGCACACGGTGCCGCGCATGCTCGGCGTGGAGCTCACGCGGCTGACGAGATCGCCAGACCACCAGTCCCGGGAATGCGACCGCGACCTCTCGCGGCGGCGGCGCCTCGTTAGCTCCCCGCTCAGTGACTCCCTGCTCCAAGTCTCAAAGAGCCTACCACCTTTCCTGTTGTTGTTGGTCTCGTTGCTCGTTAGTTCTCCAGACCACCACTCTTTGCCGCGCTGCATTTCACCACTCCACCACTCTCGGCTGCGAGTTCTAACCCGTCTCCGGCTGTGATCATCGCTGTTGATAAGAGCAGCAGCAGCACCACCGGAGTTGCCCAAGGTTGCTAGCAGTTCCATGCTATTGCTTGGATTGTTGGTGTTGCTGTTAGTGTCGTTGGTGTTGATGTTGGTGTCGCTGTTGGTGGCGGCCTTGCTGTTGTTAAAATCACCGGAGTGATAAAAAGTAAACGATTCCTCGCTCATGCTCCTCCGCTTGATGCCTCCTCCACCACCATTTTTCAATATCTCCCCACTAAACTCGTCCGGACCATGATACTCCACAGGCTGATCCCGATCTCTCCTCCACCAATCCCTGCTACTCTCCCTGCTCACGCTCATCGCCAGCTTCTCCTGCTCCTTCCGCAACTTCTTCTTCCGCTTCTGCTCCGCCTTGATCCTCTTCGCGAGCTCGTCATCGTCGTCACACTCGGCCCACCACTCCAAGCTCCCGGACCTCGCCTGCTTCTTCTTCTTCTTCACGTTGTTCTTCCCCTCGCTACTCGTCCCAGCCGCCGCCGCACCAGCGGTACCGGAGCTGGCTGCATTCCAAGGCCACTCGCGAGTCCTCGACCTCCCTCGCCGGTTCTCACACGAGACCCAGTCCACGATATACTCCCGGATGCTAAACTCCCCACCACCACCACCCTGCTGACCACTGCTTTCCTGTTTCCACCACCAGTCTCGGCTCCCATTGTTAGTGTTCTTCCCATTCCCAGAGCTTGGCGAAGCCGACGCTTTCCTCTGCCCCCAAGGCTTCTTCCTTCCCAGGAAGTTCTTGATCCCGGCCTGTCCCTGCCCCGTGCCATCGAAACTTATCTCGGACCGGCAATCGATCTCCGAGGGGCTGATCTTGCTCCAGGTATCGGCCTCGGTCCCATACGCCGACTGGCTCAGCTTGCTCCACTCCTCGTCGTCGTCCTGCCCGCCTCCAATGCTACTCGGCGTCGCAGCTCCGCCCCGAGAGACCTTGCCAAAGTCGTCGTTCTCGTGATCCGCGGCGGCCTGTTTGCTCGGCGAAAGCACCGGAGATTTGCTGTCGCTGCTGCCGGGATCACCGGCCTGCAGCTCCGGCGATCCTTGCGACTCCTCGCCAGATCTCTCGTTGGTCGTCCTCTCGTCGCCCTCCTCCACATTCTTGATCGTCGTGTGGTCGGCGGAGCCCACCGGATCTGGAGAAGCGGCAGTGGCAGGAGCTCCACGATCTGGAAGCACTGGTGGATCGCTCTCCTCGTCCTCGTGCTGCTCAAGAACCCTAGTTGCCGGATGAGCCCTAGACTGGTGATGATCCTTCTTCCTCCTCCTCTCTCGATCCCTGGCGATGCGCTGCGATCTCACGCGCTCCCGCTCGTCCACCGCCGCCGATTCCTGCGTCTTGACCCTGGCCAGCCCAAAATCCGCGAGCTTGGCCCCGAAATCCGCCCCTAGCAGCACATTGCTGGGCTTGACATCGCCGTGGACAATCGGGGGCTCGCATTTCCCGTGAAGAAACGCCAGCGCCCTCGCCACATCCGCCACGATCTTGGCCCGCCGCTCCCACTGGAGCACCACGCTGTGCTTCTCGTCGAAGAGGATCTCCTGGAGGCTCCGGTTGGCCATGAACTCGTAGACGAGCATCTTGCGCTTGGAATCCGCGCAGAAGCCGATCAATCCCACCACGAACGGGCTGCTGGCCATGCTCCCCATGATCGACAGCTCGTTCATGAACTCGCGCTCGCCCTGGAGCGATGCCGTGTCGAGCTTCTTCACCGCGATGTGCTGCCCGTTCTTGAGCGTCCCCTTGAACACCGAGCCAAATCCTCCCTGCCCGAGCTTGTGGCTGTCGCTGAATCGTCCAGTCGCGGATCTTAGCTCGCGGTAGGAGAATCGCCGCAGCCGGATGGGGCTTTGCTGCTCCGACGCTGGGCTGATCGTCCGGGCGCTGGATCTCTTCACCCGGCGGTACACCAAGATCACGAGGACGAGCACCAGGAGGAGAAATCCCGCCCCCACGGCCGACGACACGATTGCCGCGGTGGGACGCCGCTGGCTGCGGCGCTGATTCGATGCCGCCTGCTGCTCGAGGAGCCCCGGCGGCGACGATGATTCTTTGTGCTGCCCGAGCCTGGCGCTGGAAGCGTTGCGGTGCTGGTGGACCGCGGCGATGATCCGCCGAGCCATGGCGACGATGCTTCTGTGCCTGCCAATGCGTCGCCGAAGATCATGCTCCTCGCGACTGTTGCATTGATTCTTTGGCGCTCCTACCTTGTTCTTGCGACGAAATCCCTCGAAATATCGCTGCCGATGGATCGATGCCTCGCGATTTCTGGCGCCGCCGCGCGCCTGGAGGGGTGATCTTTCCCCCTACCTGTGTTCTTCCCGAATTCCCTCGAAATATCGCTGCCGATGGATCGATGCCTCGAAATTTCTGGCGCCGCCGAGCGCCGGGATCCCCCGGCCGACCGGAGCTCCAAGAAACGAGAGAAGCGTGAGCCCTCGGCTTGGGGCTTCCCTTTCTCCTGTCTCCGCTCTGGCGCTACCGACGAACTGGAGTCAATTCCTCGCACAAACTCTCATAAATCCGATCGATCTGGACCTCGCGAGCCTCCCTCTTTGAATGCGATTGAATGGCGCTGGCGGAATGGACGAATTACGCTGCCCTGCGTCGGCAATCCCAGCGCCTCTCGTCAAGAACCCTAACAGCGGCGAGACAATGGAGAACAGCTCAGCAGCCGAGAAATCTCTCATGCGAATGGCGTGATTCGCTTACCACATTGCTAAGCAAGGCCGCGAATCTCCCATTTTTTCCTCTCGCTCGCTTCCATCCCAAGCGAATCTCGGTGGAAACAAACAAGGAAAGAGAGGAAGAACTGCAAGAAATTTGCCCAGAGCTCGGTGCGCTGACTCCAAAGAACGCTGTAGGTTTGGTGGAGTTTGGGCCAGTGGCATTCATGGCCATGCTCGTACGGCGCCAATTCCACCCCATTTAAATGGATGGAATGGAAAATATTCGAATGGAATTCATCATTGCCACACCCATGGTTTGCGAGCCTTTATTTTTATATCCTCGGTGGTGGTGCTTAAATGTTTGGGCGCCCACCATTGAAAGGTGGTGAAAGATCGAATCTTCCTGGCCCACGCAGGCGAATATCCGTGGCCCTTCTAACATTTTCCTAGAGCTAGCCTTTTGCCTTTGTTTACTCGTGGCAAGAAACTCTTGTCGTCAAATCCATAGCGTGTTGGCAATGCATCGTCTTCGCCGCCTTGGACAATGGAAACTCTAGGCATTTTTCTAACTCGCTTGGAGTTGGATGGAGTCAAACTCGCATGAGTGCTTGTTTGTTTCCATTCGGACGAGACGAGCTCGGACTCTCCATCTCGGACTCTTTTTCTTCTTCCCCTTCTCGGGGCCCCTGGACAAAACAAAAAACAAAAAGCGTGAGATTTGTTGGTGGTTGCTTGGTTGTTGTGACGAAAACTAGACACTCTGCTGGAACGGAAATGTAAAGCTCCAAAGAAGAAAAAAAACTTACAGAGCTTACGAAGCTTCTTCTTGCTTAAGCTGAACAAATCGATTGTTGTGATGTTTAATAGCCTGTGTAATCTGTACGAGAAAAGCCTGGAGTCTTTGTACAGCACCACGACGTCACAAGGCCTGCTCAAATGCAAGGAAGACCATGTGGATGAACGCAGCAAAACATAGCTTAGGGTGTTTGCTCGCGTCGCACGGAGACGATCAAGTTGTCACTGCTCGCTGCTCGCTGCTGCTGCTTGCTCTGCTCCAGACAGACTAAAGAAAAGCAAAGAGGAAAAATCAGGAGCTGCGAAAGAAAAACAAGTAAAAAGAAGACGCACCTCTGTGTGGTGGTGTGCTGCTTGTTGATCCTCGTGTTCTACGGCATGAGTATGTCACAACGCGTCCCCAGATCCGACACGAACTTCTCCAGGGCCGCCGCTGTAAAGCCGCTACAGTTCTTGAGATTCAGAGCTGTCAAAGAATCGCACATCTTCTGGATCGTTGGCAGTGACTCGTCCGTCACGCGGCTGCAACCGGACAAGGACAGCGTCTTGAGAGTCGGTCCGACGGAGATCACCACCGCGACAATACCATCGTCGGTGATGGAACAATTGGACACGTCCAGTTCTTGTAAAGACCTGCACTGGCTGGCTAAGACCCCCACGCTCTTGTCGCTAACCTTGACACAGCCGTCCAGTATCACTGTCTGTAGCTCGAAGCACTTCCGCGAGACGCCAACTATTGCCTTGTCTGTTAGCTCAACGCAGTCGCTAAGGTTGAGGAAGACTAAGCTCGAGCCACTGGTCTCTAGAAACGCTAACAGTCCCGTGTCGCTGAGCTTGCTGATCCCACAAAGGTCCAAGTGCTGAACCGCAGGGAAGACGAATCCAGCCATCTCCAGACACCTGTTTCCGATCCCTTCCGAGTGATTGACAACCAGCGACTTGAGGCCGGAGCATTTGAAAGATGCGGAAGCCGTCAAGCTGGAGTCTTGAATCCCAGAGCACTTGCAAACCTGGAGACTCTTGAGCGTCTCAGCGGTGGTTGTCAGGACGGAAGCCAGGCCAGCATACGTGATGCTCCGGCACTTCTCTATGTGCAGTCCCCTCAAACGCTGGCAGCCATCCACGAATGCGCAAAGTCCCTGATCGGTAATGTTGTCGCAGTCGATGAGCAGCAGCCTGTTCAGGTAGCTGCATGATTTTCCCAGGCTCGACAAAAACTGGTCCGTGACTCCATGGCAGGCATTTAGAACGATCACTTTGAGATACTTCAGGCCGTCCGGAAGTGCAAGGCTGATGAAACCTTCCTGCGTCACGTCTAGCCCCGAAAAAACCAGCTTTGTAAGCGACTTGCAGTGATGCGTAAGAAATGCCAGGCCCCGGTCGTTGATTCCAATCTTTTCCAGCTTGAGCTTTTTCAGAGCTACGCAGTGCTTGCTTACCGACGTTATCGCGTGGCTGTTGATGTTGGAACACCTGCTTAGCGAAAGCGTCTGGAGGTAACAGCAGCTCTTCGCAATCGCCTTGATACCGGCATTCCCAATCCCGTCGCAAGACTCGATGCTCAAGTTGGACAGCCGCAAGCATCCCCTGGACACCGCCTCCAATCCAGCATCGCTGACGTTGGGACACTTGAGAAGGTCCAAGCTCTGGAGAAGCCGGCAACCTCTAGCAATGCTCTCCAGCGAGCTATCTCCAACGTTTGGACAATCCCACAGCGTGAGCCCCCTCAAAGCATTGCAGCAAATCCCGATGGTCGTCAGCCCGATATCAGTGACACCCTTCGCAGAGCGCTCACCAGGTCCTCCTCGAATGACCAACTTTCCGAGACCACCGTGAGCACCTGTTCCAACAGCGATGGCGGCCAGCCGGACGTCTGTGGCTTTCTTTCCTTCCAGACACCGAGAGAGATCACCGAGAGCCCAGTGAGGCTGCTTCTCCAGCGTCCAAACTTCTTCCTGTGGAGCCGAGCCTGCTCTACACGGCTGATTCACTGCGTCGTCCGAGTCCTCTGAACATACCTCTCGCGGAAGTTCTTGCCGAGGCATATGCGTAAGTAGCATGAGCCATCTTCTACACACCGAAGCGCAGCTAGAGCGGTCTCGAGCCGAGAGGATCGATCCAAATATCACTACCAGGATTTCGTCCGGAATTCCATCCATACTACTGCAGCTACTGCCCACCTCTTCGTCGATTCTCGGCCTCTTGCAGGAGTGATTGCTCTTGGTCCTCTTCCAGTGACTGCCGCTCTCGCGATCGCGCAAGAAATACGCATCGTCGCCCGTCCACTCCGCCACCTGACAGTCGCTCGCCTCCGCCGAGACCTCTTCCCTCTTTCTCTGGGATCGAAGATACTGTTCACTCAACCTCACCATCAATCTGACCAGAATCTTGTGGTGCCGGCTCGATAGAATGCTTGCTCTGGATTCACTCGCTTCCCTAATGGCCATTTCACTCTCGCATTGAGCGAGAAATCCCCCAAAACTCTCGCACGCCAATCCAGCAATCGTCGCGGAGGGGGGAATTCACGCTACCTGGAGCTCTCGCCGGTCGATCGACGAGGATGGAGCGCCCCGTCCCAGATCCCTGAAAATTTGCCTTAGGGTTTCGCCGATGATGAAAAAAGAGAGCAAAGACAAAAGGTAAAAGAGACACATGATGCCTCCACTAGACTTCCGCCACGTGTACAAAAGGCCAGCTGGCAGGCTTTAGGGTTTATACCATCGTCTTCTGCGATTGATCCGCCGGGGACGAATTTTCGAGCGCTTCATCGCTGTGTTCTTGCGATGGGTCGCTACGTCCTTGGGATTGATCGCTAGTGGGCGATTCCAGTGCTTCCTTTTGCTTCTCGCTCCAGTATCGCTGGAGATCTTGCTTGAAAACGTAATTCCCCGACACTACGCCCGCCCTAGAGTTCCCAAAGCCATCAATCAATCACGCATTTGCTTCACTTACAGCACCGCGCCGGCGATGAGCGGCAGAGGTGTTCGTCGCATTCTCCAATCGCCCTTCCAGGATTAGGGCAAACATGACTTGACAATCCAACGGTTTCAAACGTAGCGAATCTGACGGACCAACATCAAACATTGACCATATTTGACCTTTGACAAACTTGACCAATCTGACGGTTCTAAACGAACCAAATAGTTTTACTCTTCCATTTAATAAATCAAAGGTTATTTTAGACTAAGAGCTTCTTTCTCGCGTTTTATACCTTGAAAGCCATCCTTCCGGCCAGTCTCCCTTCTAAGATCCTCCTGTCGATGGCTGCATCCACAGAATTCATCTGCACAGCGAACCAAAGGATCAGTCTTGCCAAACGCAGCCGCGAGAAAAAAACCATTTTGTCAGTAAAGCTAGAGTCTAGTTCTAATGAGGAACTAAGAACCTTAATCGGATGATACAAATTTTTTTTCCACATCGTGTGCCATCACTGCGCGCGCGGGGCCAAATTGTTATCTCAAGCACAAACCACCATTCCCATCCTCACACACAGGCTTTTTAAGTACTTACCTGGACAGGAAACGACTCTAGAATGCAAAGTGAATGGCGACTTACCTGGAGAGTCTCGTCAACAACCTGGTATTGTGGCAAGCAAAGCCTCCGTTCCTCCTGAGATGAATCACACAAACAACGTTAGATCGTCTAGAAAAGCAAAGAAAAACTGAAACTTTACCATGGACAATGCCTCGTCGTCCCAGACAAGATAAACTTCATTCGCAGCCGGCGCTCCTGGAGGCCTTGGAGTAATCGGTGGCAAAGAAACTGGCGGTGCAACGACGTCCGAGGGGGCTGACACTGGTTGTGGAACAGGATAAGCGGGCGGGATGTGAGTGACTGGCTTGATCGGAAACAAAGGTTGCGAGGGAAGCTGGGTCTGTGACTGGATTGGAAACAGCGGCTGTGGAGGTCTCCCCACAGGAGGTGGACCAGGAGGCTGAGGCTGCATAGGCATGGAGTACCATCCCTGTGAAGTCGCAGGAGGAGGCATCATTGGCGGCTGAGCTCCATAGCTGCGACAAAAGAGATGTGCGTAAGTTATAAAGCTCTGGAAAAGGAAAGAAAAAGAAAAACTTACGAGGGGACCGGAGGATACACTGGTTGCTGCGAGACCATACCATAGGCATTAGCACCATAATCGATCTTGGGATACTTCCCAGACCTCTCGTCGTCTACACGAAGGAGAAAACGAGAGTGAGTAAACTTTAAAAATGAAAGATTTCATACCATCAAAACCGTCCTCTCCGTGATTAGCTAGTAGCTCCGGAGGAATTCCATCCATGCCATAAATCTCGATCTCTGTGGACTCCCTTTCCGGTTTTGCATTTGGAACCCTGCAAAGAAGCGAAAGAAATTTAGAGAACATATGAAAGAGAAGGAGAAATCCTTACTTGGTGATGGACTCCTTGTGGACCTGCAAAACATGGACAACCATTCCTCCGGCAGTGGAGAGCTTCTTGTGACAGACATGGCATTTGAAATGCTTGGCCTTCTGGTGCTGGATGAGGATTTTCTCATCATCGAACTCCCTCTCGCAGTAGTAGCACCACACCTTAAAAACCTTTTTCTTCTTCTTCCCCATGGAGATAAGAACGCTGCGTCAGGTGAATCGCTTCACAAAACCGCTATCAGGCAGTGCAGTGACGCCGCCGCTCACGCTAGTGGCGCGATGAGGAAGATCTAACAGGGAGAGAGCGACAAAACCCTAGACTCTCCGGGCGATCTAACCAGCGATCTTTGCGAGACAGCAGTCAGGATGTGGCACAGGACTCACCGGTGATCGACGCCGCCACACCCCTTCTCGCTCCGCCAAGGGCCCCCTAGGGTTTGCTGCCCACGGCCCCTTATTGTCGTTAGCGTTATGTGCCGTGGCATATTCCGTTAGCAGCTGTGCGGTGGCATATTCCGTTACCTCTAGCTCTCGAAAGAATGGATGTTCCAGCTATGGCGGATTGCTAGGGCTCTGGGATTCGAAGAGCCGGCTAAGCGATCCCTCGGCGATGCCATTGCACAAAATCGCTTCGCCTGTGAATCGGAGGTTCAGCAATGCGCCAGGATTCTCACTTCTTGCGCCAAGCTGAAGGATCTCGCGCGGGGACGAGAGATTCATGCCCGCATTCTCCAAGGCAAGCATCGCCGCAATGTCTTTCTCTCCAATCTCCTCATCACAATGTATGGGAAATGTGGCCGCGTCCACGAAGCGAGGCAGATCTTCCAGGAAATGGCGAGCAAGAACTGCTACACTGGAAATATCATGATCCAGGCCTACACCGACAATGGCTACATCGATCAAGCGCGAGATCTCTTCGATTCCTGGCCGGATCGCACGCTCGTCAGCTGGAGGCTGATGATCTCGGCATACGCCAAGGCAGGGCTCGTCGATCAGGCCAAAGCCCTCTTCGATGTGATGCCACATCCAGACGTGGTTTCCTGGACGGTGCTTCTCGTCGCCCACGCGCAGATCGGCGATGTCCCTCTCGCTGCCCAGATCTTTGCGAGGATGCCGCAGTGGGATTCGGTGTCTTGGAGCTCCATGATCGTAGCATTTGCCCAAGGGGGGCATCTTGATACTGGAAGAGGGATGCTGGATAACACACCCCAGGCGAATTGCGTGTCCTGGACAGCGATGATCACAGCTTATGGGCAGCGCGGCCAGATCCTCGACGCGAAAGAGGTGTTTGATTCCATGCCCGAGAAGGACGTCGTTGCCTGGAAGGCTATGCTCACGGCATATGCCCAGAACGGGCATCTCAAGGCGACGAGAGAGCTCTACGAGCGAATTCCAGTGGAGGAAGAAGGCGTGGCCAACTTCATGATCATCGTGTACGCGCAGAATGGCCACATTGCCGAGGCCGAGACGATGCTTGACTCACTCACGGTGGACAACCTCACTCTCGACGCTTGCACTGCGATGATCACCGCGAGTTCCCTGGATCGAGCGAGGTTTCTTTTCAACTCTATGCGGCATCGCGACGTGATGCTGTCGACTGCGATGATCGCCGCTTGTGGCGACTCGGGGCTCGTCCGCGAGGCACGCGACTTGTTTGACGAGATGGCGGTGAAGGATTCGGTTGCCTGGACGACTATGATCGAGGCGTACGCTCGGAACGGTTATCTTCGAGAGGCCTTCGACTTGTTCTCACAGATGCCGAGGAAGTGCGTGATCCCGTGGTCGGTTTTGGTCGCTGGTTATGCTCGAGCTGGGAACTCTTACGACTCGAAAGATATCTTCGACAGGATTCCAGAGCACAACGTCGTCTCGTGCACTGCAATGGTGCACGCCTATGCCCAAAGCGGGCATGTCTGCGAAGCTAGAGCGATCTTCGACGGCATGGTTCACAGGGACAAGAGCTGCTGGGCCGTAATGGTGGCAGCTTGCACACAGAACAACTACCCAGCGCTGGCATTTGATCTTCTCGAGAAGATGCCGGAGTGGGAGAACCTCAATGCGATGATCGTCGCGTACGCTCACAAGGGGTGCTTGGATCAGTCGAGAGAGCTGTTCAACTCTTTGGAAAGCAGAGATCCGTCGTCGTGGACTGCGATGATCGAAGCTCACGCTTGCAACGGACAGTCCAAGGAGGCACTGGAGACATTCTGGCAGATGAACCAAGACGGGATTGATGCCGACGAGATCACCTTCATCTCCGTCTTGCACTCGTGTAGTCACACCGGCATGGTGGAGAAGAGCTTGCACCAGTTCGTATCAATGAGCTCCGATCACGCAACGGAGGTGGAGCCAGCGCTGGAGCACTACCACTGCATCGTCGACGTTCTCTGCCGAGCGGGTCATCTGGAAGAAGCTGAGGAACTTGTCACTCGAATGCCACTCGAGCCCGACTGCGTTCCATGGACGACTCTACTCGGTGGCTGTAGAACTCATGGGGATCTGGAGCGTGGATCGCGAGTTGCAAGCAAGGTTTTTGAGATGGATCCTCGAGCTGCGGCTCACTACATGCTGTTGTGTAACATATATGTGGAAGGCGAAGTGAGCTGACCCCCAGTTCCTCCAAGAGTAAATGCAAGGCGAACAATCAAAGGAAATTCTCCAATCGTCTCGGCTATCTAGAAGCACTCGTCCAGGTGGTGGCCATACCCAAAGGTGGTGACTTTCACTCCAATCTTCTGTGCATGGAGAGATCCCGTCCTCGGCCTTTAATTTTCTCGATAAGCTCCACTCCATACTTGTCCAGAACTTCTATGACGATTTCTCTGACATTCCAAAAGTAAAAAAAACGATGCAAAGTTTCTAATGAGTTTCGTCCTCGCCACCTTCATTGCTGTTACAATCACTTACTGGGAATCCATAAAAGCAAAAGAGATTTCAGAATTTATTACTTTCTGTCTTGAATCACATCATCACTTTCAAAGTTAATTTTCAGAGGGTGGCATTGGAATACCACACCCTGGAAGTAAGTTTAATCTTGGAGAGATAAAATTGCCATGTAGAACAAAATGAGATGATACCTCATAGAAATGTTGTGTGTAATGTGTTCCATCCCAAGTAATATGTTCTCCAGGATGTTTACAAGTAGTACTATTTGTTTGTCCACAACCACAAAGTGCTAAACCTTCACAATGATAATCATTTCCTGGTATACCGCAACAAGCACTTTTATAGCTTTTAAATTTGTAGTGATGCATGTTCTTTATCACATGATCAGTTGCTGCAAACCAATCAAAATGATATATGTTAATATCATCATTTTGATAATTAATATCAATCACCATATCCAAAAGCTGCTTGTTAAAGGTTTCAAATACTTGTGTAACCTCAACAATACATCCAAGGTTATCACTATGTATACCACTACCATTAATATTAGTATATGGTGCAAATGCTGATATATAACCTGGAGCACAATCTGAACGAGGAAGATTCAGCACTAGGAAATTTCTTGCTCCAGATTCATATAAACTTAAAATACTAGATTTAATTCCAGATATCACAGATGGAATAGTGGTATTTAAAATATCTGGAAAATGTGGCATCATATAATTAATATCATTACCCCCAATCTCAATAAAATAAAGTGCTTTCTCATATAATACATTTTTATCCACTTTAGCTCCATCTTGATAATCTTTCACTTGTTGTTTATGCCATAAAAAATCTGAAACTTGTGCCGATAATATGTGAGGTGTAGAAAAATTATTAGTAGATGGACAAACAGTAGCTCCAGCATAACCAAAATTCAAGCTTGTGAAATAAGTACCATTATATGTTAAGCTAGGACGTGCAGAATCACCAAGCTTGAGATCACGAGTTAAGAAATCAATAAGCAAATATCCATCACTAAATCTCCCAGTAGCCTTTCCAATTGTCATACCATATGGAAGATGTCCAGAAATACTATAATTCCCTGATGCAAGCGCTTCAAGATTGCGATTTCCCGTGTCAGATAGTGAATCAGTAAGACTAAAGATTGCAGTCGGACATAAGAACGATTGAAAACTTCTTCGCCCAGCACCAACTTGAAGCACAAGAAACATCAAGAGAACCGAAACAAATGACAGTGATGCCATAGGAGCCATTGAAAAAGTTATGACAATGAATTATCTAAGAGGAACGATCACATTTATATGTGTGTGTGGTGTCATTTTTATTTCACTCTTGATATTTTTACATAACAAGGTTTACAAATTATACACTTCATTTCTATTTCTATCTATATTGGCTAAATTGCCCATTTCGATGTCACGACACTAGGAAGTCTTCTCAATCATAGCATTCCATGAAAGGTCTAGCACGAAACTTGCTTAAAGGCAGCCTCGAATTGCTTTGATGCAGCTGAGAAGAAAAGCTTCTAGAGCTCTTCACAATGCGTTCACTCACTACGACGAACAAACCGAGCTGGCCGAGAGGATCAAAGAGTGCTCGAGCTCCAGGAACTTGGGACAGGGAAAGCTCCTCCACAACGAGATCCAAAACAGCCGCCACTTCGAGAATAGATTCCTTGGCAACCTCCTCATCGACATGTATGGGAAATGCGGCAGCCCCGGCGAGGCCAGGAAAGTGTTCGACGTTCTTCTCGAGCCCAACAAGTTCTCGTGGAACATGATGGTCAAGGCTTACACCCAGAATGGCTCTCTTGACGAGGCAAGGAAACTCTTCGACGAGGCTCCAGATCGCGATGTGGTAACTTGGAACCACATGATCGCGGCATACGCACAAGCTGGAAATCTCCAGGAGTCCCGCAAGCTGCTCGATCGAATGCCGGATCCGGACGTGGTTTCGTGGACTCTGCTACTTACGGCGTATGCCCAAGCCGGGCATGTCGAGGAAGCCAGAAAGATCTTCGATCGGATGCACAGAAGAGACATCCTGTCGTGGAACGCGTTGCTGCAATCGTATGCCGCTAACGGTTATTGTATCCAAGCCTCGCAGGCTTTCGAAAAGATGGCGGCGGTGGACGTGGTTTCTTTCACGACGGTCATGGCAGCGAATGCCCAAGCCGGGCATCTGTCCGAGGCCGAGGCTCTCTTCACCGTGATGCCGGAGAAAGATTTCATCGCCTGGAACGCGATGCTATCGGCCTACGCGCAGAGTGGACAGATGAGTCTGGCTCGGCAGATCTTCGAGAGGATGACCAACCGGAACGTCGTCTCCTGGAGTGTCATGGTGTCCGGGCTCGCGCACAGAGGATTCATCAGGGAAGCTCGAGCCTACTTTGGAAGAATGCCATCGAGGAATGTTGTGTCATGGACGGCGCTAGTACAGGCGCTCGGCCAGGCCGGGAACGTGGTAGCAGCCGAGAGCCTGTTCTTCGTCATGCCGACGAGGAACGTCCTCTCGTGGAACGGGCTGCTCGCTGGATTCGCCCAGCACGGGAAGATTGCCGCGGCGATGGAGGTGTTTGAGAAGATGCCGCAGAGGGACGAGGCTGCATGTAGCAGCATGGTTGCTGCTCACGGCGACTGTGGCAACTTAGCGGAGGCCAGGGAGATCTTCTCGTCCATGCCGGACTCTTGCCGGGGGACGATCGTGACGACGTCGATGCTCGTGAGTTACGCTGGCAGCGGCGACTTTTCAGCAGCGAGAGAGCTCTTCGATCGGATGGAAGTGAAGGACGCGGTGGCACTCACGACGATGGTGTCGGTGTATGGCCGAGAAGGAAAGCTTCGCGAGGCTCGAGCTCTTTTCGACGCCATCGCCAGGCCCGACGTGGTGGCCTGGAACACGATGATCGAGGCCTACGCCAACGCTGGCCAGCTCGATCAAGCGCGAGCTCTCTTCGACGCTATGCCGGTGGACAAGAACGTTGTCTCGTGGACAGTGATGCTCACCGGCTACTCCCAGCTCGGGCAGTACGAGAGAGCTCTCGGGATCTTCCAGAGAATGGATCTCGATGGGATTCAACAGGACGACATGACGCTCACGGCGATTCTTAGTGCGTGCTCTCACGTCGGCCTCGTCGGTCCCAGCAAGCTCCACTTCTCGTCGATGCTGGCCGACTATGGAGTGACGCCGAGGATCGAGCACTACCAGTGCATGGTGGCGATCTTGGGTCGAGCCGGAGAGCTCGGCAAGTGTGAAGAACTGGTTGGAAGGATGCCTATTGCTCCTGATGTTGGTGCGTGGAAGAATCTGCTGGGAGCTTGTAGCATCCATGGCGATGTGGATCGAGGCGACGTTGCTGCCAATGCCGCCGCGGAGATGGATCCCAGCAACGAGGTTCCTTATCTCCTCCTCTCTAATATCGTGAGAGGCTAGCTTCGCTTTGCTCGATCGATCGAGCGAAACCGATGCTGAATGCGTGGATCTCATCACTTCCGCGACGAAGTCCGATCGAAGCCCAGTTGCGAATCGCGGTCGGCGATCGTCGCTACCTGTCATCCTTCGGTATGAGCGGTCTTTGATTCTGGATCTTTCGATCACACTGGTATATGGATGGAGGGAAAATGGAAGCTGGTTTCTACGCATGGTGAAAACTTCCAGGCTATCCTCATCCTGAACGCGAACGCTCTCAAGGTTTTCGGCTCGATGCTTCACAGGGATGTGGTTTGCTGGGCGGGGGATACGCCAGAGAATGGACACGGGGAGGAGGCTCTGGATTTGTTTTCAGCCATGTCTGGCGAGTGCGAGCCAAATGCCCGGGCGTGCTGCTCGCCTGCGCGAGCTTGCTTCGCGAGAAGATCGACGGCCGGGTGATCACAGATCATGGGAAAGCTTCAAAGTCAGATCCTTGGCATAGATTCGGAGAAAAGTTTGGACAAAGTTCCAACATAAGAAAGGTGGCAACCTTATAAAGCGGATCATCGGAGATCTTTGAGGTCTTCTCAATTCTTGCGGCGCTGGTAGGTGACTAGAATTTTTCGAGCTTGTGGCTGTTCCTCCACTCTGCGCAATTCAAGCAATCGTCAAAGAGGGGTGTTTCGAGGAGAGATTGATTACCTTGGCCGTTTCGTGGTATTTCGGATTGTCAAGGTCGCAAAGTCGGAAATGTTGCACTCGCTGATTCTCTTGTTTGATCTTAGCAGCTTGTCATTGTACGTGAGTTGGCATGCGTCCTCCTTGGGCATCCCCATCTTGGCCTTGAGCTTCTGCTCGATGCTCTCGACCTTGCGATTGCTCGAGACCATGAGAGAGAAGGAGCTTGACGTCTGCGGTGCCACGACCGTGATCCACATCCGGTTCTATACACAATCTTATATGAGCTCTCTTGAAAGAATCATGTTTCACGTACCTTCTTCCTTTTCTTTTTGTGCCTATCATCATCCCACGTAAACGAGCACTGGTGCTCGACTTCTTCCCCGCTTGATTCTCTTTCCGATTGATCGCCCTCTTCCTCCTCGCTCGTGGGTATGTCCATGCAGTAGCTGCATTTTCGCTGTAGCCTTTTGCTTAGAACTCGAACCTCTTGGAGTTTCTCCAGCAACGTTTCCGTAGACAGCTTGCTGCTCGATATCGTGTCCATCAGCTCCTGGAGCCTCTTCCTGGACAGTGTCGTGCTCCTGGTGACTACCCGCCAGACATGGTTGAACAAATTGTCGTGCGAGAGCGAGTGGGCCGAGATGAACTTGCAAATCTCTAGAGTCTCTTCCCGGGACAGCTGCGTGAGGGAGATTTGCTGCAGGTAGTGCTCTATAAACTCCACCGCGAGCTTCTTCTTGTCCTCGTGATGCTTTCCAAAGTTGAAAGCCAGTAAAATAGCCGATCCTGGCGAAAGAAGAATTGTGCTCGCTTTGAAGTGTGCATCTGAGCCAGCTAAAAGTGCGAAGAGCTTCTTTTCCTGCGCCTTGATCCTGTCACTCGTACTCGTGTCTGCGGTGATACTATCCTGTTCCAGGAGAAAGTCGCAGAGAGCAAGGAGGTTAAAAAGAGCTACACTCTCGTGGAGATCATGGTGATCATCAAAAGATGGAACGAGCCAATGTTTGCTTTGCTCCTTTGAATAGTCGAGGCCCTCTCTAAACAGACCCAGCACAAACCGGGCAAGAATCCCAGCTCTGTGAAGAACGTCTCGAGCTTTGACACCGGTCGGACAAGCAACGAAAATCAGTTCCGACGCAAGCACTACGTGCCTTGCCTTGTCCCAGACCTTGCTTTGCATTGAGAAGAAATCCACTCTTCTCTCGAGGAACTTGAGGAGCACAGAGATTCCACCTACAGGCAGAATCGTTACCATGTTGACGAAGAATTCGTGGAGACTGCTCCTCCCTAGCGCTTGCAGCGTCGCCGAGGAGCACTTGGAGATAACCTCGGATCTTTCCTCTGCGGAGAGGGCAACGCCATGATCTTGGGTGACGATGGCCAGCACCTCGAAAATGCTGGACGTGGTCGTCACCACCTGAGAGCTCCAGAAGCGAGCACAAGAAGAAGCGAGCAGTGGCATGCCCAGGTATCTGGCAGCAGCACACAAGGTGGGGAAGCTGGATGTGTGGAGTTCAAGGTGGTCGGCTTGAAATTCATCTTCCACGAACTTGACAATCTTTTCGAACGCTCGGGCGCCTCCTGGGAAGTTCTTGAGCTCCACAAACAGGTGCCGAGCTCCAGTGTGGCGGACAGAGGTAAAGATCTTGCGGAAGAGATCAGACGCTGCCGCCAGCTTGAGCTCGTCACAGCAAAAGCGTGACTTCGCTACTGAAACAACCATACCTTCGAACGAGCTCGAGGAAGCCACGACCATGTCTTGCAACAAGCAAACTTCCATGATTCTAAACACTATCCTTCAGCAAAGAGCCATTCCAAGAAAGAGTCGAATGAATTTATGGACGAGATTTTACTGCATGCTACAGGAATTTACATTGGAAGTTTGAAAAGCATGAAGCTTGACTAAATTCTTGAGTTGACGTAAAAGATTTTTTTTCTCTCCTCGTAATCCAAATCCAGCATTTATACTCTTGTAAGAATATGATGCTTCGAGACTTGATTCTGAGTACAAGGCTCCTGTCCTTTTGGAGCCTCTCAGCACGCTAACAGAGAAGAGCAGCAAAATCTCCAGCAATCCCACTGGAGAATTCTCATTGGAATCTTGGCAATACCCAGCATGGAACACTCTTTGTCCTTGATCGATCATCTAAAGTACTCGAATCCTTCCACCGTGGCTATGGAAAAAGCAATTGCTAGCATCAAGAGTTACACATCCAATTCTCAAGCTGTGACGCAATGCATTCTTCACAGGAATAAATTCCCGGGCAATCATAGCAGCTCCCTGGACACACCACCACCTCCTCATCCACTCATTCCTAAGAGTTCTTCTCGCGCTGCAAAGACAAATTCCAATTTCCATGGCAAGAACACACAAATTTGACCAAGTGGTTGACCACCGTTGACTTGGCGGAATTAGGGTTTATGGATGATCCTCGGGTCTGGATTTGCTATGGTGGCGAGCCGGGCTTCTTCTGGCGCGCGATCCACAACACATTTCCGCTATCAGCTGTCCAGCGCAAGTGGCAACTGGCCGCCGTCTACGTCGAGAACACGGCGGTTCGCGAGAGCAGCAGCATGAGAGATCTCTTGCAGCTGGGGTGTGGAACAGGTACGCGCGAGGATCCCTTGATCATCCGAGGCGAGCTCGCCACAGATGCCATCGCCCAAGAGCTGTTTTACTGCCAAACAATCCCGAGCCAGGTTGCTGCTTTCACCCTCACTGGCGATCGCCAGGTCCAGCTATGGCAGATTGCTCGTCACTTTGGGCTCTGGCCGTGGACAGCTTGGATAAAGGGCGCTGGGCGAGAAGGCAAACTCTTCATCGAGCACGTCCAGCGCTCTTCAGAGAGGAGGGGCAGTCCCGAAGAACCCTTCCAGCTTCGAGGATACTACGGTCCATTCTCCAAAGGTGACGTTGGCTCGTTTCGCAGCTTTGCCAGCAGCGATGGCGTGCTAGATCTTGAGCTCGGTGAGCCTCTTCACATCTCCTTCTCGACCTCGGTATATAGCGCATCGATGATCTCCGGTGGTGGCGAAGAAGTTGTGCTCAAGCTAGACTACGATCCAGGCAGGAACTTGTGCGCCAAGATCGGCTTAGAGTGTGCTGCGCTTGCCGATCTGCGCGACGCAGGGATCATGTCCCGGAGCTTGCCAGTGTTGGTACGTCGTGGTTTCTATCGCCCATCTGGAAGCTTAAGCTTGCAGCGCGAGTATGGTGAAGTTTCCGGCATCGTTACCAAGCCACGCGGTACGAGGCGTGTGGAAGGGATGGTTCTTCACGGGGAGAAGCTGTGCAAGGTAGCGTTTGACGTGCTCTTGGCGCTCTACCATCTTCACCTCGTGGGACGCAAGCACCGGGATGTTCGAGCACAGAACATCGTCCTCGTTGCGGAGAACCAGTTCATGCTGATCGATCTCGAGCTTGCATATCGCGTGGACATGGAGAGCTTGTACAGTGGTTCCGGAAACAAGGAAGCTGCCGCGTCCGATTGCCACAAGCTGCTTTCCTGCTTGCTCGAGCTGTCCACTGGCTTGCGCCATCACTACGTAGACGATGAGATGATCGCCGACATGCTGGCGCGAGAGAGCGAAGTTCTCGGCGAGTTTGCAAAGCACGTCCTTGGCCTGTCTTGCGAAGCTTGGCCGGACTTCCAGCCGTGGCTATGGGAACTTGGAGCTCGAGGCTGCAAGTTATCGCATGAGACAGTGGAGAATGCAGTAGCCGGGCGAGTTTCTTCCGAGGCCTTCTCTTCGCCACCACTGAGATCCATCGTGCGAGATCCATACCCCGCCACTGCAGTGTGGATCACGTACCAGGGAGAGACGAGGTTCTTCCTGCCGGCAGCGAATGGTCGCTTCCCACTGCTGCGAGTCAAGCACGTCTGGAACCTCAGTGAAGTTTGCGTTGCCGGAGTAGCGATCCGTGGAGACGAAAGCGTTTCGGAGGTCTGTGGTGCTCGAGGCACTCGCTTGGATCCTGTGCAAGTGACCGGAGTGCCGGGAGTGCCGCGTGTTGTCCGATGCGACGAAGTTTTGGCCGTAGTTCGCGAGACTCTCAAGAGGATAGCTGTGCCTCAAGATTATAGCTGCTATACAGGCCTCAGCCAAATGCTAGCTACGGCGTAAGCTTAGAGTGGATCCATGATCTTCTCAAACAAATCGAAGCTTTATTTCAATGGAACCAATCGATCTACTTCGAGGAACCTCGCGACCAAGAGTTTGCAATCGCCCAACAATCCATCTCTCTCGCCTGGAGCAGCGCGTACAAGAGGATGGCACAAACACATCCCACCGCGAGATTGGATCCTTGCGAGATGGCGACGCAGCTGAGCATCACAAACGAGTCTTTCCTGCTAGTTTGATCCCGGCACGCCATCGCCAGCTCCACCCCGGAGAAGAGCAGTAAGATCCCCAGCAGTCCCACTGGAAAAGCTTGGAGAATTCTCACCAGCGAGCTCCCCAGGAGAAGTCCCAGCACAAGCTTGGCAACACCCAGCATGGCCACCGCCACCCCACTCGTGGCTCCGAAACGATACTGCCCGGCCAGTCCTCCAGCGCCATGGCAAACCGGGAGAGCTCCAAACCAGCAGCCCACTAAGTTCATGAGCCCCACGCTCACCGAGACCTTGGTCGGAGACACGGCGTCCTTCTTGGCCGGGAAGAGATCGCTCGAGAGCTTGCAAACCGCCACCACCGAGTTGAGGATGGTGAGAGGGAGCTGCGGTATCGCAGCTCTCACAAATCCAGTCTTCCAGTCATGCGAAGAGATTCGAGCGATCCGGGGCGTGGCGGGGCCAAAGTGAAGCTCCTTGAGAATGTGTGGCCTCCTCACGAACGCCAGGATGATCCCGAGCACGAACACTGCCAAGGCAGTCGGGATCCTCCGGAAAAACCTCACGAGCTTTGACGATCTCTCTTGATGTTCCTCACGATGTTCTTCACGATCGTCGTGATGACGACCACCACCATCACCGTTCGTCACAAAGTACTCGAATCCCTCGCCGGATCCATTCACCAGCACGATGAATGCGAAGCAAATCACTGCCAGGAGAATCCCATCCAAGCCCAGCCATGGGCGATCACCCTTTGCCTTGTCGCTGGAGAGATTTTGATCCTTCATCACGTACTTGACGGCCTTGACCGCGAAAGAGAGCCCCTGCGCGAGCTGGATCCCACGAACCACCGGCAATGGAACGATCCACGCGACGACCCGGATCAAGCCCGTGATTCCAAGCCCAAACACGATCGCGGACACGGTGATCCCCGCCGCCATGATCTGATCCACAGTGAGGTGCTTGGATTCGGTGATGGCCACCGCGGCGATGGATTTCATGGGCTGGACGGGCATCGGCACGCCAAAGAGCACGCCGGTGAGGATGTTGTAGATGCCCGTGGCGATGAGAGACGTACCAAGATCCACACCATTGACGAGAGCTAGAGCGATGACGATCGGGATGAACGTCCCCAGGTCGCCAAGCGAACCGCTCAGCTCCTGCCATGGCCGCTTGCACTGGAGATTGCTGCGCAGCCAGGCGCCATCGCTGGGAGAATCCACCGCTCCTCCCGCTCGCCCCTCTTCCTCCATGGATGGGCGCCATTAAACCTCCAAGAACCCTAAATTTATATCCAAAAGCCCTATAGTATTTTATACAAAGTAGCTCTTGCAGCGTACCAAGGAACAAATGAGAACCATACAAAATGGGATATCTCAAATAATAACACCATGATCTATCAAACAACATCCACCGCCCCTCCCGCTCAAGAACACTAAATTTATATACGCCATAGTATTTTATACAAAGTAGCCCTTGTAGCGTACCAAGGAACAAATGAGAACCATTCAAAATGGGATATCTCAGAGAATATCCTCTTAATCATAGTGACAACATCATGATCTATCAAAGAACCTCTTTAATCACGAGGACACGAAATTGCTATTATTTGAAGAATTCCTAGAATCTACACTCAAAGCTTGTTCTAGAACAGCATCACTTACACAGTAGTTCTAAACAAAATTGCTGCTATTTGCCAGAAGAACATAGGCAGAAGAATTCCTAGAATCTACACTCAAAGCTTGTTCTAGGAGAACAGCATGAGATCTTTGCCCTCGATTTCTAGACTTTGCTCCCAGCAAACACGTCCAATCCACGGATATTGGCTCGTAAGGCATGCTCCTCACAAGATCCTCGGCCTCTTCCACACGCCCTGCGCGTCCCAAGCAATCCACCATGCAGCAGTAGACTTGCCTCGAGGGCTTCAATCCAAACTCCGCCACCATCGAAGCGAGGCAGCAGCACGCCGAGGAAACGTCCCCGCCATGGCTGTAACCCAAAGCGATGCAAATGAAGGATGTCTCGTCCGGGGTCACCCCTTGCGTGTTCATTGCGAAGAAGAGCTCCTCGGCGGTGGAGGGGTGGCCGTTCTGAGCGTATGCGGCTATGATCGAGTTCCAGGACACGAGATCCGTGTCCGGCATTGTGTCGAAGTGGCGATTTGCCTCTGGAAGAAGCCCTTTTGTGGAGAATGCCGAAAGCATTGCGTTCCAAGAGACTGTGTCTTGCTCGGGTATTTGGAAGAAGAGCTCTCGCGATTCCTGGAGAAAGCCTTGGCCGCCATAGCCGGAGAGCAAAGCCGTGAAAGAGAAAACGTCTCTCTGGGGCATGTCGTCGAACAAGCACTTGGCATCCTCCAAATGCCCGTTTTGAACAAAGGCCGCGATCATAGCGTTGCAGGAGAGAAGATGCCGCTCGGGCATTGAACTCAATACGTTTACAGCGCTGGAAAGCTTTCCAGATTGCGAGTATGCTGCCAGAACTGTGTTGCACGACACAGCATCGATCTCTTTCATTCTAGAAAACAGAGTTTCTACGGAATCAATATCCCCTTTTGCGGCAAATGCCGCAAGAAGCGAGTTCCACGAAACAAGATCCCGCTCGCGCATGGAATCAAACAGCTGCTTAGCTTGATCGAAATCTCCCATGCGCGTGTAAGCCGCCATGATCGCATTGATGGACACGACGCTCACCTCGGCCGAGCGCGCCAGAAGTTCTTCCGCATTTCGTAGATACCCTGCTTGGGCATATGCACAGATCATAGCGCTCCACGACACAAAGTTCCTCTCGGGCATCGAATCAAACACTGCTCTGGCGCTACCAATGTGCCCGGTTTGCGCAAAAACGCTAAGCATCGTCGTGCTCGAGACAATGTTTCTTTCGGGCATGGAATCATACGCTCGCTTGGCCTCCTCCAGATGCCCTCCAAGGGCATATGCGCCGACGATCGAATTCCACGACACTAGATCCCTCACTGGCATCGCCGCGAACAGCTCCTCCACGCGATCCGATCGGCCGCTTCTTGCGAAAGCGGTGAGGAGCGCCGTCCAGGACACGATATCGCGCTCGGGCATCGCATCGAATGTCTCCTGCGCGAGCATACGATGCCCAATCCCGGCATACGCCGCTAGCATTGCGTTCCAGGAGATTCGATCATGGAGGGGCGCGAAATCGAAGATGTTCTTAGCCTGATCGATGGAACCGTGCTGGGAGAGCGCTGTGAGGATCGAATTCCAGGCCACGAGGTTCTTGTTTGGCATCCGATCGAAGAGCTCCTTGGCAGTAGCGAGATGCCCTTCTTGGGCGTGTGCCAAGAACATAATGACCCACGAGTGGCAATCGCGTCGCTCCATGGAATCAAAGACCGCTCGTGCGCGCTGGATCTCGCCCAGCTTGCCATAGCGAAGGATGATGAGATTGGAGAGGTAGCAGCGATCGCCAGGCAGCATTTGCTTCTGGGCGACCGCGATCCGCGAGTGGGCATCGATCGCCTGCGAGGAATTCGTGGCGGAAGTGATGAGATCCACGCACTCGGCCTTGGAGAGCATCGGTTTCGCTCGACCGATCGAGCAAAGGCTACCCTCTCATGATATTAGAGAGACGGAGTTAAGACTCACGACGATGGTGCCTTCACGTCCATCCGATCGAAGAGCTCTCTCGGTGCTGCAAAGGCGCCGCTCCCAGCGATCATCCCGTGCTGGCCGAATCCAGGGAGCAGCACTCTCTCGACGTTCGCGGCCTGGCGGAGCGCCGACACGACGTTCCTCGATGGCATTCTTCCAAAGTAAGCTTGAGCGCCGGCCATGACACTCCAGGAGACGAGGTTCCGGTTGGTTTTGTTGGGCATATCGAACACTTTCCTGGCCTCCACAGGACTGCAGCGTTTCTTGGGAACCTCCTCATCGACATGTATGACTATTCTCAAGGTGGCGGCTGTTTTGAAGGAGCTTTCCCCAAGTTCCTGGAGCGCTATGTGATCCTCTTGGCTAGTTCGGTTTGTTCGTCGTAGTGAGTGAACGCATTGTGAAGAGCTCTAGCAGCTTTTGGTCTCAGCTGCATCAAACCAATTCAAGGCTGCCTCCAAGCAAGTTTCCTGCTAGGAATTTAATGATTGAGAGAGTAATTTAGCCACTATGGATAGAAATATAAATGAAGTGTATAATTGTGAACCTTGTTATGTAAAAATATCAAGAGTCAAATAAAAATGACACCACACACACATATAAATATAATCATTCTTCAAACACAATTCATTCATTCTCATGACTTTTTCAATGGCTCCCATATCTTTGATGTCATTTGTGGTTCTCTTGATGTTTTTTATGTTTCAAGTTAATGCTCGTCAAAATTTTCCATCAGTATTGTGCCCGACTGCAATCTTCAGTCTTACTGATTCACTATCTGACACTGGAAATCGTAATCTTGAAGCACTTGCTTCTGGTAATACTAGTCCTTCTGGATCTTTTCCATATGGAATGACAATTGGAAAGCCTACTGGGAGATATAGTGATGGATATTTGCTTATTGATTTCTTAACTCGTGGTCTCAAGCTTGGTGATTCTGCACGTCCTAGCTTAACATATAATGGTACTTATTTCACAAGCTTGAATTTTGGTTATGCTGGAGCTACTGTTTGTCCATCTAATAATAATTTTTCTACACCTCACATATTATCGGCACAAGTTTCAGATTTTTTATGGCATAAACAACAAGTGAAAGATTATCAAGATGGAGCTAAAGTGGATAAAAATGTATTATATGAGAAAGCACTTTATTTTATTGAGATTGGGGGTAATGATATTAATTATATGATGCCACGTTTTTCAGATATTTTAAATACCACTATTCCATCTGTGATATCCGGAATTAAATCTAGTATTTTAAGTTTATATGAATCTGGAGCAAGAAATTTCCTAGTGCTGAATCTTCCTCGTTCAGATTGTGCTCCAGGTTATATGTCTGCATTTACAGAATTTGCTGATATCTTTAATACACATACTGATCAGTTTGGATGTATTGTTGAGGTTACACAAGTATTTGAAACCTTTAACAAGCAGCTTTTGGATATGGTGATTGATATTAATTATCAAAATGATGATATTAACATATATCATTTTGATTGGTTTGCAGCAACTGATCATGTGATAAAGAACATGCATCACTACAAATTTAAAAGCTATAAAAGTGCTTGTTGCGGTATACCAGGAAATGATTATCATTGTGAAGGTTTAGCACTTTGTGGTTGTGGACAAACAAATGGCACTACTTGTAAAAATCCTGGAGAACATGTTACTTGGGATGGCACACATTACACACAACATTTCTATGAGGTATCATCTCAATTTGTTTTACATGGCAATTTTATCTCTCCAAGATTAAATTTACTTCCAGGGTGTGGTATTCCAATGCCACCCTCTGAAAATTAACTTCTGTCATTCAAGACAATTTAATAAAATCTGAAATTTGATTTGTTTACAATTTGAATGATGAAGGTGCGTGAGAAGGTGGCGAACGTAGCTGGATTCGTAACTCGTGGTCCAACTCGCGCGGACCAGTTCGTATAGAGCTCTGGAGCAATTCAGGCCGGATCCGACGATGGGAGGACAGAGGGCTTTGAATCTGGCGGCTGTTCTCGCGGAGAGTGGACAAGTATGGAGTGGAGCTTCCCATTGCCAAGCTCGATGTTGGAAAAAAGGCCGAGGTTCTGCAGAAGATCGGAGCACCTGTGGGTATCACTAAGATCACTAGACTTTGATTATTCTCCTTGGACAGCATCAGTTTCGCTCGATTGATCAAGCAAAGCGAAGCTAGCCAATGTCGCCTCGATTCACATCGCTACAAGCTCCCAGCAAATTCTTCCACGCCCCAACATCAGGACTAATTCTTTCCAACCATCTTCGAGCACTAGAATGCACTGAAAAGAGGGCCTTCTTCTTCGAAAGCCAGCTCTTTTACTTTTTAAATGCCGAATCACACGACGTGGGATCAAGCCCACGCTGCTGGCCTTGAAAGCACATACTTCTCCAGCACTCGACGTAGTGTGCAAGCACGCCGTTCAACGCTGCATGCCACAAACAACTTCACGGGTTAACAGCGAGAAAAAGCTTGGTGAAAACTCACTCTCGTTCTGGTACTGCATCGCAGCCGCAATCCCAAAGTGGAGTGGGCACTGCTGTAGCTGCTGCTGATTGGAGGTGGTGGTGCTGTTGGTGCCGTAACCTCCACCCAGTCCTGCACCCAGCTCACGCATTATGCTACAAGGACATTGACAAAGGTTGGCCGGAGGACATCTTGGCACCACCAAGTCATTCAGGCAACAGGAGCACTCAGCTGCAAACGAAGGCAACACGGAGCATGAATGGCTGCACCTATAATCCGCACACCTGCATGAATCACGTCCACCACCATCCCACGCATGCAACCATCCACAAGGAGCAGCAGCAGCACCAAAATGCACCATACTATATGGGAAGCCCGCAGGGGTCACAGGAGCGGCAGAAGCAGAAGCAGCAGCATAGGACGATGCGTCAACAAATGCAACTCCGTCAGCATGACCACTAGTGTTACAAGCAAGAGAAGTGCTTCCTGCAAAGCTTGCACACTTGGGCTGCAAGGGTTTCAAGTTGAATCGTTTACCCGTGTGGTGTTGTTCGTAAGGTACCGCCCCGCGCTTCAGTGTTTGCCGCTTGGTGGCGTTGGCTGCGAACGGATCGGTCGGCTTACACGGCCGGAATTGGCGTTTCTTGAAAAGGACTCCTGGAAGAGATAAGCACCACTTAAGCCACGTAAGAAACTTTTGAACTTGCCATTGTCTCTCACTCCAAGCCATTTGAATGCAGGCTTTCGGTTCTCCGTCCCGTGAGTCTGTGAAAAGCGTTAATCACAGCCTGCAGCAAGGAAGGCCAACCTTTTCAATCAGCTGAAGCGAGGTCAACACGTTGGCAATGTCGTAGAGGCGCCTGACTTTTGCTGCAAACCAAAGTCAAGCACCACGATGCCAGGCAAAAATCACAGCTTACTTTTGAGCTTCGAAGGGTCAGTGCATCCTCCGAATAAAACTCTGGCGGCTTCATCTAACGAAACTACCTGTGTCTGCGTGCAAACAGGGTCCAAAGGTTAGCGACCGCATGTAGCATTAGAGCAGACCACCTGAGAGATGAGGAACAGCTGCACGAACTTCTGGCTTAGCAGACCAAGGGATTTCTCGCGCCTACAATCTGAACAAACACTTGAAACGGCAAAGGCAATGCAGCCAAGGTCACCTGCTTTGCTCTTGGGCTTGTAGAAGCTGTACGACTCAGTATATGGACACGCAGTAGAACTATCAGGCATGTTGATAGACTCCTGTGTTCCAAGCGCGCTGTCATCGTGGGGGTGCTCCTGGCCAGTCCACAAAACAGCCTTAGCAGGAACAAGCGAGATACAAGTGACAAACTCACCTCATGCTTGTCGCTTCCCCACCCATCCAGTCCATATTCCCGAAGAGCCGCTTGCTGGTTACAAGAAGCAGCATTCTCAGACTGTAAACAATCTCAGCTTGTGTGTACCTTCATCTCCTTCAAAGCCTGCGGAAGCCTTGTAAACCCGTACCACATGTAACAGTTCTTCGCTTTTCTCACCAGCACCTGGTCATGTCAAAGACACACAAGTGCAATGACACCAAAGGCTTCTAATGGTATACTACTTACCTCTACACTCTCGAGAATATTTACAATGTCGTAGATGCGCCTCCTTTCCACACCTGATAGAACGAGACCCAGAATAAAAGCTGATCTTTCTCAATTCCTAGTGTTTGTTCTTGAGCTTTGTTTTGGAGAAAAAAATCCTTTGGAGAGTGTTTTCAAAGAAGAAGAAGACATACCTAGCCGGAATGCTGCTTCGTCCAGGCTGATGCACTCGGTGCCTTGCTCAGCTCCATACAAGCTGAGGAAGCTGCAATTTGGGAGTTGGGCTTAGCGCAAGAGACGTGCAAAGAGCATCGATGACTTACTTCTCGCACAGGAGGCCCAGAGACTTTTCCTTGCGATTGTAGGCGGGTAGCGCCTGCATTTCCGTGTCGAGGCCGACTGGAAAGCCCTCCACATCCAGGCACGAGTCGGACATCCTGGGAGAGGCGGCGCGGCTAGCTCACAAGGCGATGGCGATGCAATCCAGCTTACTCACCTGCTTAAACCCTAGGGCGAGCCGGGCTGTGGCTCCCAAGCCCTAACAATGGATCCGGGACTCTCCCGCCCATGGGCCTTGCGCGCGCGTTTTCAAAATTTGCGGAATTTTGCTCCGCCTCTTGGGCTGAGCCGGCCGGCCCCTGCCACGTGGATCCCGCGGCCATTAGGGTTGACTATTAGGGCTGACTATTAAGGTTGATGGATTACTAAAGAAAAAGTGTGATTTTTGACAAGAGAAGTGTACTCTTCGTCAAAATCGAGATGCCACTTTTCCTTGCCTTGTGAAGCCATAGCCTCTAGCTATGTGGAACGTGAGAAAGGTTCACCCTAGAAAGTAAAGGTTTGAACCAGGAACTCCGATACATCTTGGACGGCAGCAACCATCATCTCAAGAAGCTGGTAAGAACTGGTGGTTCTTTAATAATTGGTTGTGGATCTGGTTGTGGCAGCACAGAAACCTGGAGGTCACCAACCTGGGGATTGTCTCGCACTGAAGGGGAAACCATATCAACAGGGGAAATGATGTCTCCGGCACAACAACGCTTGCTGGTGCTGGAAGAGGTGGCTGAACCATGATTGGAACAATGTGGGAATGAACAAGACCATGTCAGCATACAGCCACGTGAGTGATCCAATCGCTGCCATGGGTCGTCACGGTAAACTCATACATTTAACTGTATAACAACACCATTTCATAATACCACATGGTATTGGAGCAGCGAACGATCTAATGGCAAGAGGACAGTGGCAGAGGAAGAAGCAAAGGCTTGGCTGAGAAGCACATGACAGTGCTGGTGCGAGTGGAGCGAAAAATCCAGGAGCAAAAGCGCTAACAAGCTCTTTGCCCAGCCTGCCGGAAGATGTGCCCTTGTTGTCCCCGAGTTTTTCACTCCATGTTAGGGGATGTCCAGTTCTGGTGGGTTGTTTTGCTGACATCACCAAGACCTAACCCAATGACTGAGAGAAAGACTTTTGTTTTCCAGGTGGAGAAATTCTGTCCCGTGAACTTTTGCTTTTGTAGCAAAATTCTTGTTTAATATATTCTTACGCAGCAGGAAATTCTGGGGGCTGGGAGAAACTTCTCCAAAAGCACACCATGGCAAGCTCCCAGACCAGCTCGAGATGCCAACTCCAACGGTGGTGGGGAACTGCCAGTCATCTTTGGCTTCTGTGGCCTCGCCTAAATATCCACCTAGGTGCCTTGAGTGAATAGGTTCACCCGGTTGGAAAAAAGTTATAGCTCCCTTGGGAAATCAAATGGATATAGATGGACAAATATAATAATTTATTGAAGTGTTCAAAAGCCAAATCTACCAATGCTAAGGTCGTGTTAAGACAAACACTGAGCATGCAACCTGATGACACTTACATTGGAAAGTTTAACTGATGATCACTGAGCTGAAGGATGCAATCACCACTGATCAAGCTAAGGCATTCTTACTCAGCTCTTTCTCCCTTGAACTCCAACCTTTCACATTGATGCTCTCAGCTGTGCCTGGAAAGGACTTGGACTCACTCTATTCAGACTTGATCGAGGAAGAATGCAAGCAGAACGAGTAGAAAGGCAAGGTGCCCTCTCAGCCTGCTTTATGTGTGGAGCAAGCCTTGTTTATTAGCAAGCAATGGAGTGGGAAGAAACGAGAAAGGGCTATTTTGTTTCTTTCCACCCAACTGCTTACTAATATAAAGGCTTGCTCCAAATGTGAAGTAGCCTTAAAGGGCACCCTGCCTTTCCACTCATTCTGCTTGCATTTTTCCATGGACATAGGCACAAAATTATTTATTGAGAGTGGAGAGTACCTTGATCAATCCCAAGGAGCGTTGCTTCCTTGGTTGCAGCCCCTGCAGCTCTGTACTCAGCCTTGGTATTTGACATTGCTGTAATACATTTCTTCCATTTAGCAGGAAAATATAGCATGTTGTTGGGATCTCCTTCCCAATCAGCATCAAAGTAACCAGCCATCTTGTTGCAACGCCTGCCAATGTGATGGTCCACGTACTTTGCCACTGTTCTCACAACATATTCAAGGTCAGGCCAAGTGAAAATTACCAGATAGATCACATTGCCGACCATAGAGCGATAGACTGCTCTAGATGCTTTCTTTCTCTAGGATCTACAAATCAACACAGGTGGTAAAGCTATTGTCTTATAATCAGTCTACAATAGCCTTGACCAAGAACTCCAAGTTCCACTCTCATACTAAACACATTGAGCGGCACTTCCACTTTATATGAGAGTAGATATAGAGAGGAATGATCAAGCTGGAGTTCTGCCAAACAAACTCCATGCTAGTGGACGTGCTGACAAAACCACTTCCTCATGTTAAACATGAGGTCTTCACAAAGGGTCCTAGATTGACTTTACGTTGGCCTTGAGGAGTGTGGGAGTGAACAAAACCACATTAGCATGCAGCCACGTGAGTGATCCAGTCGACACCACAGATCGTCATGATAAATAAACTTATACATTTAACCATGTATCAACTGTTGTACCACAAATAAAATCTGTAGTGGAAAGAACAGCTTGAGAGGACGAGGCCACTCCCACTGGATAAAAACTTTGGGGAGATTCATTGTCCTGAAAAAATATTAACCACTTAGTGATGGGGTTAAAAATATGGTAAGCCTTGTGCTCAAGCCCACTGTGAGGAAAGAGCTTCTTCCAGATGTGAGAAAATGCTTTACATCCAAAAGTCCATAAATGATTCATAGAGGGTTTCTTTCCTATCCTTATCTCTTTGGACTTTTTCCTATAACTTCCTTGGTGGGAAAACAGTTTTGCAAGTAATGTTGTCATGATGGTTTCAGCCTAAAACATAATGGACATTGTTGAATTGAAGCATGCTATTATGTAGCACATGTGATCATGGGATGAAATTTAGATATATTGTCACTGTGGATCCTTAAAACTTTGAAGGATAAATAAAGATAAAATAGTCATTAAAGGTTCTTTTATAAAACAATTACCCTTTTTCCAGTTAACTTAAAGGGAAAGAAATAAACAACTTCAAATAACATCATGTTTTTACACTCTATATTCACCCTGAATTTCATACTGCTCCAGAAATTTTATGAATTCCCAAAAAATATATTCACCACCACCATCAGACTGGAACCGCTTCAAATGCTTTCTGGTCTGCTTTTCCACAAGATTTTTGGGATGTTGCTAGAGCTTGCAATTTTTGCTGTAAATAGAAGACAAAAGTCTTGCAACTAAAGTTATGAAATATTTTGTGCCACCATAGGAAGGGTGAGGAGCTGGTCCCCAAAGATCACTATGGACTAGTTCAAGAATTTCACTCACTGCTTGGGAAAAGGTGTCCAAGACTACTTCCCAAGATGACATCCTTGGCAAAATGGAATGCTTGTTGGAATGGCTTCAACGAGATGCTATGCACTGGGATTGCCATGTCCATAGCGTTGATGCCACAGCTCAAGCTGTGAGGCCAGGGTGGCAACAAACGTTAAGAACTGATGAAAGCCTAAATCGCCATCAGGAGTTAGCAAACAAATCCTGAATCGGTCAAGAGTCCAATAGAAAGTAAAGTGGCCTAAAGATCAGGTACAAAGAAAACATCACTCACAGTGGCTGTGAAGCCAAAAGTGAGTTTCAGGATAATTGTTCCTTTGGCTTTGATCTTTAGCTCACTGCCACCAGCAACAATCATTGTAGGAGCGCTCTCCAAATGCTCAAGATGTTTGAACCAGCGATCATCTGATGCTAAGTGGTCCGTCACCCCTAAATCAAGGGAAAAAACAGTCCTCACAAGAAGCCAAGTAAGCAGAGGAAGTAGATACATCTACGCAAGGATCCAATTGTTGTACAATTAGTGCTTTCACTCACTTTTGTGGTCGTTTTTGTGGGTATTTGAACCAGCAATTGGCTTCATCGTGATTGGTTTTCTTGCAGTGCAGGCAAGGCAGGTGTTGTTTTTTCTTGAGTCCGGCATCCTTGGATTTTGGCTTTGTTTTTGTTGTAGTGAAGTATGTAAATGACTTCCTATGCAAGGTATTGTTTGTGAGAGCTGTTCTGATGTCCCTCCAAGTGATTTTTCCCCCAGGAACTGAAGGCTGAAGAGTCTGAAACACGTTGTCAAAGGACACTGGCAACATGCTAAGCAGATGCTCACACTCTTAAGCATGGTTGTCTTTGAGTGAAGTGCATGACCCACTCAAGACTCATCACTGCCTGGAGACATGCTGGATAGAGGCTCAGGGCAAAGATAGAGCATTTGGGCAGGGTGCCGCGACCATGAAGTCCAGGAAGAAGATCACATTTCGGGTCACTGGGATCATCAAGCACAAGCTTGGGTAAAAAGATCTCGTGGAGAAAAAGATCTCTAAACAATTGGGTTTCATGTTGGCACATCATCTATTCTTTTACGCCATGCGGGCCTCCACGTTGCAATCTTCAGGATGGACGGCTAAAACTATTGATTATTATATCTCTTTTGCTGCCCAAAAATCTGTCCCAGGGAATTCTTTGTTCATGTTTTCATACTTCGAAGTGCTCGGCCATGCTGTCTTGTCCGCCATGGTGCAAATCAGAACAAGTTTTAACGGGAGGCAGATAATATACTCCACTCAATAGTTGCCTCAGCCAAACACACTCTTTGGCTGCTAAGGTAGTGGCCACGTACTCAGCTTCGGTGCTTGATAGTGCAATTGTTGGCTGCCTTTTACTGCACCAAGTAACTGCTCCACTACCAAGGCTGAACATATAGCCTGAAGTGGACTTCCTCTTGTCAACTTCACCAGCCCAATCAGCATCTGAGTATCCAACGAGCTGAATACCCCTAGGCTGCTGCTTGTAAACAAGACCATAGTTGGCAGTCCCCTTCAAGTATCTGAAAATCCGCTTTACTGCTAACCAGTGCTGGTAGCCAGGATTTTCCAAGTGCTGTGAAACTGCTCCCACTGCATAGGCTATGTCTGGCCTCGTACACACCATCAGGTACACTAAGCTTCCCACCATCTGCCTATATGGGATCCGCTTCATATGTTCCTGTTCAACTGGTGTTGTCGGTGACATATCCTGTGAAAGTTTTAGACCAACCTCCA